AGGGAGGGCTACTCCCTTTCCAATGAAATTCACTTTTCGAAACGAACATGAGAAAGTTGCAGATGCTACAGGGCAATGACTACTGGATTTAGCTAAATAAATGGCAAGCACCTCTTGATGGTCCATCTATTATCATTTTCCAAAATTAATTAACCATCCATCAATCACTGCTTTTAAAACCCGAAATCATCAATCAATCGTTAAAGCACAATTAATAGCTGAACAGGTCCCATTTAAAGTGAATATTGGCATTAATTTATTCAATAAGTCTCTGCAATAGTGATTATCACATAGCACATGTTAGTGAAGAACATTGACCTCTAGTTTTGTGGACAAAACTAGTAAAAAGTTTGGGGGAAAATATTTAAGAACAAAGTAAAATTGCATTTCACATCAAGAAAAGATTGTTGCACATGAGTGAAAAAGGTTCAATGTCACTTATTGTTTCAAAAAGTTGCCTTTACCATTAACATTGCGGCTTAGCATGCATCCTTGACGAAAAGTTTCCAAAACTCCAAGTAATTGCTGGGTATATGTTAGGAACAAATTAAAGGGTCTTTCCTCCAATTAGAATTGTACTAATAACAAAATAAAAAGATACTCCTAGAGTTTTGAACTCAAGAAATCTTAGACCCTCCAATGGCAAGTACGTATACAGGTAGAGATCAATAGCTAGCATTGACTAATTCAAAAAGTAAACGATGGGTAGAATACTTGATTTGATTACTTGTCTTTAGAATCCTAGTATTCTACATTAATAGTGAGTGGAAAATGATTAAGCTTGCTTCATTTATTTAATTGAGTCAATATCTTGGTCCCTGTATAGCCCAACCAAAATGTATTCTTCCCTTTGAGGGATGTTATATACTGATTAAGTAAAACAATTAATAAATTAATTAGTTGTCGCTTAATTAGGTCGTTATCAAAATTTTTATTCATTTCTTGCTTAAAACATGCAAACCATCCATGTTTCCAGGGTGGTAACGTACATGCTAATTAAGGTTGGAAAAAAAAAAAACAAGGAAAGAAAAACATAGAAACATGGGAAGAGATTAAGAGTCCTAATTAAGCAAAAGTGTGATGTTGAAAGGAACGTTGATCAAGCTGTTAATAAACTCACAAATTGGCAAATTTAATTAGCTTTCTGCATGTGGTTAGAAAGAGAGTTGGTGAACTACATAAATGGAATCCTGGACCAGTTCTGTTCCCCAGGTATGTGAAGGATTGTATTTGAAAGCCTTTGATTAAAAACCACAACATTGCTGAACAAAAGCTTAAGATTTTTGCAGGCTGCATCACTGGCCTATCGTGGTTATCTTCCATTTTAAGGTAACCCGTCTACAAAGAGTGCAAATTGGCACGTTGGTCATTTATTTTCGACAGATCTTGACTAGGATTAATTAAGTTACATAGCAAAGTACATCAATTAATGTACTACAATTATTGAATTGGTTTGAAATTAAATACTTCTTTTTTAAAATAAAAATGTCAGTCCTTGAATTTTGAAAACTATCATCAAGGAAGATACTCTTTGATATCTCAAAAACTTCAGCTTAAAAGTATAAATTGTTAAGCGAAGGTTAAAGAATGGGATTTATTTATGAAACTTAATCATACATTTTTATGGAATTAAAATGGTATTAGTGTAAAAATAAGTAATCAATAATATGGTACATTTTCGTCTAATTTACTCTCTTTCCTTTAAATTTTTATTCTGCAATTATGTTTGGATCCGATAATCAAACTCTACTTAACTTAATTAGTCAACAGGTTCATCGCCACTTGTTCCACGTGGTTACTACGTCCTACCAAGAAAGTCGTCGCGTCAATGATCAACCAGAAGCTCTAATCAAAGTACCGTATGATCAACGTTCTCTCAGTTTGTCAATAATTCTTGGCTTTAGGTTTTAATGTGTTGCTTCCCATGTACTGCACCTTTTTGTCCTTGTCTTGTTTTATTTTTTTTTCCCTCTAATGTTTAACTTATCCTCCTTCTTTCTAGTTAAACGTTACTTGGTTAATCTAATTAAAGTGAATACTAATTATATTGAAAATTATTGTTTTATATACCTATAAAGGTCAAGTTTTTAAATTCCAAACATAAGATTAGATGAAAATTATTTATTCATTTAATATACTCTAACAAAACTTCTAAATTATTTAAAAAGATTCAAATAAACTTTTATTTTTTTATTACATCCAATCAAGTTCCTGTATTTTTATTTTAGATCAAATAAATTTTTATCACTAATAATTGATTAATTATCATTTGTCAAAAATGTTATTTTATCATTTTATATCCATATGATGTTGAATTGATATAATTTTGATGTGAAGGGTAAAAAATGTTACATAGTTAAGTTATCATATCAAATTAACATATCGCGCTATCGTCAGTTATAATATATCAACATGTTACATTATTATCAATTATGATATTTTAACATGTTACGTCTGCGTCACGTGATCTAAAATAACAAATAATATTGTAATTAAGTCAATCACTACTCATAAAAACTTATTTGTTTCAAAATAAAAATATAAAAATTTATTTAATTTTTTATGAATAATTTAAAAACTTTTTAGATGTTATATCTAAAATTTAAATGCTTAACCATCGATATGATATACCTTTTAAAAGGATGATAAAACAATATTAATTCTTTCCAAACTTAGTGGATTGATTTGCCAAAAAGAAAAACATATGGTATGCTTTTAGAGAAGAGGGAGCAAAGAGAATCTTCCCTTGCATCCGCAACCAACAACGACTTGGTTCAGGAATATGACAAGTTATTGGAATGCAGGAAGCGTGGAACCCAGAATCACGCCAAAACAAAGGCAAAAGGACTGTGCCACATCTTCACTTCTCTGCAGTCTGCAGGTTTTCTCAAATTAATAGTCCAAGAATTCAATAATATCGTGAATGGCAAAAGTAAGGACAGAACAAGTTATTAAAAAGGGCCGCAGCGATAACGTAGTTTGCTGTTTTACGTTAAGTTTTTTGTTCAAAGTAAAAAGAAATGACTTTAATTAAGTCTTTTAATTACGCAGGCATAATTAATTTTGGTAAACTTTATATACATGATAAATAATTATATAACAATTAATAGAGACTTGGAAACCGAACATGAGAGAAATTAGCGCCTTCACCGCAATGCCTGGCGCCAGCTCTGGACGAATCAAGCTCAGGCATTACCAAGTTGTTTGAACTGTTTTTCATATCAAATATTTCACCAAAAAAATCTCTTTAATTAGGATGTCAACGATTTGCACCTATTTCAAGGCCCTAGGCAAAATCAAGTAAGCAGAGACCACGGGTGACCACCCAAAAGTTGGATCAGATTTGAGTGTGAGATGTCGTTTTAACAAAAGAATCAACAAAGATATTAGCTTCTATTTACCTGTTGATTTCATTAAATAATCTACTATTTATCTCATGATCTAGAATTTTTTATTATACATTCAAAGTCTAAACACTTAATTAAAAATTTTCTTACCAACCCAAGATGAATTAAAAAAAAACTTGAAGTGCAGTCTTAATAGCCATTAATTTTGGTCAAATTAAAATCTTGTTGTAATTCAGGATGACCCAAAACAATAATCCAACGACAAAATCTCTTTAACAATCCTTTCGTGCGAGTTCTTAATGAAAACATGCATAGGGAACCAATCCTTCAAAGTTTTATCTTTTCAGTACTAATATTTAGAAAGAGGAACAAACTGACAAGTATCATGTGCAGAAAACAATTGATGTCATTGATTCAGTTTTAAAGTAAGCTGGCTCCAAAGCAACTTATACACAAAAGAAGATAATTAGAATTCAAAAGTGAGCAAATAGAGCAGGGCAATGGAAGTAAGAAACCTGCATCCGACCGACAGTGAGGTTGGGCTCCTAAAGTGTGGGGAAATTTTTCATTATTGATCAAATCTCAGTTAGCCCAAGACCACAGCTTTGCAACTGAACCAACAACCTGAAACTTAGCCCAAGTCAAAACGACTATATAGTCAGGGAAGCTGATAACTTAGCAGTGTTTCCTGATCACATTTCAGACTAAATGTTTCCACCAGATGCTTCTCGATGCTCAAGAATGATTACAACGGAAGATGTGGAATTTGCCGAAAACTTAATTAATCTACTTTCTATCACATTTTTACCCTAACTTTTCTCCTCAACTCTCCTTAACCCCTCTCAACTCAAATCCCAATTTTTCTCTCTTTAAGCAAGAAATTCAACACCAATCAACAAATCAAATGTGCAGAAGTCTATCATGATTCAAAGTTAAAACAACAAATACACAACCAAGTTACAATCTTTCAAGTTTTTGGTCTTTCTAAAATCATTTCAGGTCCTTCTTTTAAATCAAAACTTTTTCTAAATCTTCGGTAAATAGCATAGAAGTTATATCCCTATAATAACTAAACCCTCATTTACATTGACAAATCTGAAAATAATTTGATTTTAAAATCAATAATTTAAATTCAAATTGATGCAAACTTAAAAATAACCCAAACTTACATCCGAGTATTTAACTTATTAATTGATATATGATCTCTTTATAAAAAGAAAACCCGAATCTCTTTTTTTTAATTAAAAAAAAAAAACAACCGAACGCCATTGACCAGATCCAACCCGTCCAAATGCCATCTCCAGCCGAGTACATTCTAAGCACTGATAGACTGGATAGTGTGAGGCTTCACTCTAAATGACTTGCCATCGCCATGAGTTAGCTTCATTTTTTAAATGTTTATTTGCAGTATAGTGTCAGACCAATGATAAGTTGAATTATGAATATTTTGTAATACAATTCAACAAAACTCAATCACATGGTGTTACTACAATTACTACAGAAACAACCCAATCCACATTTTCCTCACAACAGTGCCTCACCCAAAAATATTTTTGTAATTCATTTTAGTTTCAATCCTCAATCACACCGCTCATTCGGAAAACGGGGACATTTGCATGCAATCATCTAAAAGCAACAGTTAGAAACAAAAGATGCCTTCAAGATACATGTACTTAATGTTGCATCCAAGCTAAATCCGTCTCATAATTATTCAATGTTGAATGTTGTTCCAAAAGCTTCCATTAAACAAGAAACAAGATTTTCCATGCAGTATTTTTGCACTTAATAATCTTTCAAAGACTTGAAGATGATGATGATGATGGCACCACATAATCAACAACAATAACACCATCCAAATAATCCCTAACCTTCTGCTTCTGTAAGTTGACAAACTCTTCATTCCCCTCTGCTGCCTCCATTTCCTCTACTCCAGTAAAAACAGCAATCGAGGCAAGCGAAAAGCCCTTAGCCCTTGCAGGCGAGAAATTTTCCCCGCAGGTGATCTGTTGAATACCAGAGATTCCCTCCTTAATCCCTTTAATTACCCCTAAAATCTCACCTTGCGCTTCACTGGGAACATTTTCTTTTAGTTTCATAAAGGTTAATTTGATGGCAGAACTAGGCAGTGGGGACAGTGGAGCAGGATCATTATCAGCAACCCAATCAACAGCCATGACATCATCACAGATGGGGAGGACATTTTCCTTGACCACACGCAGGTGATCTGGATGCGCAGAATAAGCGCTCAAATCCTCTTTGGACTTGTACCGGCTATGGAGCATGTGGGTGAAATTGGAGATCGGAGATCTGGTGCGTAGGACTGGACCAGCAGTAATGTGGAGGACAGGATCGAGCGAGACCAAGCTGTTGAGGCCATTGACCATTGCATTGACCTTCGCCTGCTCGGTGTCATCTTTGACCTTGAAAAGAACCACATGCTCAATGATGGACATTGTGATCGAGGATATTGAAGTTTTGGTGGAGAAGGTGAGGCGTCTTTTGAGGTATTTGGCAGACGAATACGTAAGGGGAAATGGAGAGGAAAAGAGAGGGCGAGCTTTGAAACAAAGCATCAAAATCAACCAGTAGACTAATCTTAGGAGTAAAATTAACAAAACTTCAACGTGCCTGTAAATTTGAGATCATATTGGGGTGAATTTCCACGAAAATATAGTAAAAACTTCCAATCAAGCAAAACAACTCCATAAATTCAAATGAACCCTTTGAAAATTTCAAGAATCCAAAAGCAGCATTAACATTAGTCTGTCAATTAAAAGATGATAAGGATAAGCAAAGTACCCATTTGGGAGAACTACCTATATGATAACATAATCTCTAACAAAAATTAAAATAAAACATAAAAATCAGTCGAAAAAGACCAAACCCATTTCTTGGAAAGGAGCCTAAATCTGAGCTTAATAATCATATCCCAATTGATACAACCAAATGAATCCTTATAAGTTCCCTTTTGCCATTTATTCAAAGGGAAAAACAAAAAACAGATCTAACAGAAATTTGTAAGATTAGCTAAAGCATATCAACCAGAAAATAACAAACATATTACTATTAGAAGTAAAAGAGCTGAGCTAGTGGAATGACACTGACCACAGAGATACGGCGGCTTGCCAAACCTTGGGGTGGAATTGGAAAGAAAGAGGAGCGGATTTGGTCGATGGGGTCTTTGTTTTGTTGAAAAAGGAGGTGAAGAGCACGTGCGGAGTTCGATGTCTGTCACCTTACTATAAATTAAGCGTCTTACGTTTGGAAGTATCTGGGCCGGCACAAGACTCGGATGGGCCGTGTCTCACCCGTAGTAGTCTCGGGATACCTGGGCTGAACCCAACAGTGAATGCCACAGATCATGCCACGTGTGTTTAATCAGTTTTCCTTTTTTTTAAGCTGGTTACTTTTTTAGTTTTTTTTTCATAAGTTACTTAAAAAAATAAAGTTAAAATGTAAGAGGAAATATTACAATTTAATCAAAATGGATAAGTAATTAAAATATAACACCAATTATATTATAATTAGTTTATATAGAAGTATAATTGTTTATTTTGACTTCTTAAAAAATCACATGTTTTATGTATAATTAATCTTTCAAAAACTTTATTAAGTTTTATATTCAATTTTGTTTTGCGTTCACTTCCAGAAGCAAAAGTTTAAAAATTAAATAGGTAAGCGCCAATCAAATGAAACTCTAATTTTTAAGTAATGATTAGAGAAATTATAAACTATTTTTAACCTTTCAATTCGCTTAATAATTTAATTTTTATATATTTTTATTTTAAGTCAAATAAATATTTATGATTAACAGTTGATTAATTATCATTAATCAAAAACGTCACTGGTCATTTTTTTATCTATGTAGTGTTAAAATAACATTAATATAGAGAATAAAAAATACCATATGATCATATGATCATTATGATCACATCACATCATCATCTATTATAATACGTTAACATATTATATCAACATTATATAATAAATAAATAACGTTTTAACTAACGATATAAAAATTTATTTAACTTAAAATAAAAATACAATAACTTGATTGAAAATAATAAAAAATAAAAAATTATTTAATTTTTGTTAAGTAATTTAATTTTTTTAAAAAAAATATTATGCATCTTTTTAATATTTATGCAAGTTCTTTGAAATTAATCTAGACTGCATAAGACAAGAAAATATAATGTCAATTTTTCTTCATAGATTTCATATTCTTGTCAAAAGCTTGAGATTGTAACTATCAATTTGAAAATAGCAAATTATAAGTATTGTGATGTATGAAACGATGAGCAGGTGGAATAAGGCAAACTAACCACCATGATAGCTTTGCATGTGTGTCACGTACAAACTAACCACATGCAAGGCAGTGCAGCCCTCTTGCCCACTCGCATGCACATTGGCCCCAACCCATGAACTCAGACTCTTATTCCACCGTTACCTTTGTATTGCCGCTTTCTAGAAAAAAATGACCATTGCCTCCATTTAAATCATCGTATGTCTCTTTCCCCAAGTGTTCACTGTCACATACACTTACTGAAATTTGGTAATATACTATTTTTTTTTTGCAATAACTATGTGCATTTTAGACTTAATTAATTAAGACCCATTTTGGGAATCAAGGAGGAAACCTTTTCTTATATTTGATTTATTGATTCTTTTTCCAAGTGTCCCAGAAAAGAACAAGGAAGCTGTAAGTAACTGAGCGTTATCAGTTGGTGCCCAAAGCAGCATTTGGTACCAAAGATAACTCACGGCGGCGTTTTTCAAGTTCATCAGCTAACTTACAAATGATAAGTAACTGCCCTTGTTGGGTTCAGTGCTTTTTCTTCAACCTGTCCGGTAAGCCTTCAAAGATTGGAGATTCTATTTCTCTTTCTCTTTCTCTTTCTCTTCTTACACTGTTCAATACCATTGCCTGAGTATTCATTTTTTCCATTCCAAGTCATGGAGTAGTTGTTGCCTGAATGCCTACATTGGTTTCATTTATTTGGTATATTTCTCTTTGAGGGTCTGCAGATGTTGTTTTTGCTTATTTCTTGTTCTGTTTATTATTGCGCTTTTGCAAATAAGGGTAACAGCTTTTAGAATGGCTTTCTCTTATTGATATCCTTTTGTCTTTGTTTTATTTACTTTAAAAATTCTGGCTTGCACCTGTTATTGTGGTTTTTGGATTAAAAAGAAGGCATTTTACAATGCTGATATCCAATGTTAGATGTTTTGTGGCTGAGCAATTTTTGTTTGCTTGGCTGAAATGGCAGCAAACACAACATCATCCTGTTAAAAATTGTTAATAAAGCAATGGGTTTATTGATTTTAATGAATTCTAATCAGTCAGCATTGCGTAAGAAGTCAAGACGATGCTCATAGTTTAATTGTTGTTTTTACCTTTCCCCTTTTTCATGCATTTCATGTAGAGAGCAAAGCGGCAGAGTTCTCTCTAGTTTGGCTATATTAGGTGATGTTAACTTCATGATTCATCTTAATAATAACACTGGTGTTCTCTTTTGAATTCAAATGTCTACCACAGCAGCACTACCAATGGACTTTCAATTTCAAATCATGATATCTATTATTTGAAGTATGATGCTTTAAATTTACTCTTACAAAAAAATGAAACATCACAAGAACTCGGAAGAATTTTTATGCACATTGGTTTATCGTTTACTCACAAAAATCAAAATGGTTTTGTAACTTCCTGGGAATCATTGCAGGAAGCTGCATATAATTGTAATGATTGAATGAATCAAGGAGACAAAGCATCGGCAAATTGCAGGTGACACATTGTAGCAGGATATCTATCATGTCAAATGATTATGTGAAAGTTCAAAGGACACCACTTATGGAGCTCTTAACATGCCCCCTTTGCTCCAACCTTTATAGGGAAGCAACTACTGTATGTGTCTGCCTTCACTCATGTAAGTTTTGACCAAAGTTTGCTTTTTCCAATGGCTCCAATGCTCTCACTATTTGGTATCTGAAATTAATCCTTTAGAAAATTTGTTTACATCCTTCCAGCTTTGGGGCTTTAAAAGCCTTACCACTTGTGAAGAAAATTCAGTTCTATGCATGGTCTTGGGCTTCAGCAATCCTCCAAAACTTAGCTCAACCATTTAAAGCAGAAGAACCTTGAGTTTAGTATACATGAATCAAATGAATCAAAGATGTTTGCTGAGTTAGTATCCAGAAACTACTTTACAAACTCTTGTCAAAACAACTGGAAAATACTCTTCTTTTAGATTTTCGGTTTCTTTTTCCTCCACTAATTTGGAATATATCTAAAAACACCCAGTACTTGCAAATGTGGTTCCTAGAAATCTCCTTTTCCATCCCTTCTTAAGATGGCTTCTATTTCAGAGGTGTCTGTTCGTCTGAGGACAACTATATTCCTACTTTAAAACTGCTCATTGAACAGTACGCATCTATATTGGATATGAATGGACTGAATATTTAACTATTGGACTATGCTGTTTAAGCTTAAGGTTGAGAAATTCAAATGAAAAAGGTATATGGCGAAAAAGGTGCGCTAATGAAACTCTTGTCAAATTTCCAGAAAATGAAGGATACTCATAATGTGGTGGTAGAGTTTCTTCTTTTTTTTTCTTTGGCCAAAATGTGCTGTTAGAGTTGATATTTCTAATTCCGTTACATTGAATTAAACTTTGTCCTGCAGTTTGCAGACAATGTATCTATCAAAAACTTGAGGAGGACAACAGAAACCATTGTCCAGTGTGCAATGCCTATCTTGGTTCCTTTCCCGAGGAGCTGTTAAGGTAAATTCAAGTCTCTTATTTTATTTCTTTGCAGCTCGTTTGTTATATATTAGCTAAGCAACATTACATTAGATATACATACATAAGAGCATTTCTTTTTCCTTTTTCGGTACATGGTTCCAGATTATCATTTTACAGTCCTCTTACTAAGCTTGAACAAAACATGGTGTTGTCCTATGTTACTTATGTTGAATTGATTACATTTGTCCTGTCTTTATTGTTTTCATCTTCCTGTTTTGTTATGCTAGGGTCCTTGTCCCTTGATATTACTGGCATCCATGTTCTTTTACAGAAATGACCATAACTTGCGGGAACTTGTAATGCAAATTTTCCCCCTCGGAAAATCAAGTGGAGAGGAGAGATCAGAAGCTTCTTCTGTTAAAATTAAAAATGCAGAAACTGCTGCACCTACTTTAACTGAAGCAAAAATACAGCGTCAAGATTTCAGCATGTCAAGAGAAGCCAAGAGAATTCATGATGACCGAGATGTTACTAGAAATAATCTTCATTTGAACGAAACACCAAATGGAAGGTCAAATCATTCTGTAAATGTCATCAAGAAGCAGGTATCATTCTTCTAAGACATATTGTCTCTTGACACTAAAACAGTTTTTATGCATCTCACAGTATTTTGTGTTCCATGAGTATTCTTTTCTTTTTATCAGAATCAATTAACAGAGATGGAAATGCCTCAAATTGCTTATGTTTCATCTGAACCTATTGCTCATGCATTTTCTCTAAAAAAATCAAAGAAAGGAGGTCCATGCTGGGAATATCTGGCAGGTCATGAAGAAGGTGAAACTTACAAGTCTATCTTGAATGAAACCAAGGGTCATGCACAAGTGAAGAGGAGAAGAAGGACAAAGAGAAAGCCTTGCAAGTTTCTGACTGGCCAAAGAGAGGATGGTTCAAAGATTAGGACTGAGAAAGAGATGCCAAAACCTGGTGCTAGTGATCTTGGAAGGTCCATTAATTCAGGGAAACAATTTGGTGGAACTTTATCTTTGAAGGAGCTTCCTGGTTATTCTTCACGCCCTGTCTGGTTTTGTCTGCTTGCATGTCAAGAAAAGTAAGGAAACAATTGATGACTAAGTCTTATCATAGTTTTTCTGGCTCAGAGTTAAAAGTTTTCTTCTACTCCTTTCAGGAAAGGCATGGCATTGCCTCAGATACCAAAACCCTTTATTAGTACCAGGTAAGTACAGTGTATTTGCAGGAACACAGTAAATGAGGAATATTACATACAAAAAAAAACATTCTTGTTTAAAAGGTCTTTGGTCTTGTCATAGGAAATGGGTTTTAAAATGTCCAGTCAGACTTCTTGTATGAGATGCTAGGGTGACTAATGAAGAAGATTTACTTGCCTTGCAAATGTAAATCTCAATGAATAGTGGTAACTCCGGAAGGCTTAGTGGAAATAAAGAAGGCAGTTATCATAAGCATGGTTCAATATCAAATGAAGGCTGTTAATGATGACTAACAATAAAATTGCGACTGTACTGGTAGAACTCTGTTGCATTATTTCATGGCTTGCTTAGCCAAAACTTATCCAAAATTGTAGTTCCTGTCTACTTACATTTGATGTTAATGGGGATTGCAGATTGCCTATTAATTTTTCAATTACTGTTGATTCATACTTTTTGTGATTTTTAATGTGGGATCAGAATTTCTGCAATTATTTCAGGAATGGAGACTTAGCAGTATCCTTTGTGAACAAGTACCTCGCTCGGAAGCTAAACCTCAAACACGAATCTGAGGTATTGTTGTATTCCCGCGCTGATTACATTCAAAAATTGCGATTTTTCATACTGTCACTCAAAAGGTCAGTCATCGTAACACTAATCCTGTATAAGAGTAGGCTGGAGATTTAGGATTGTGGAGTGATACCAACTCTGATAGAAGCTCCTAAAATGATTGCAATAAGACAATTTCAGCAGCAGGACAGTCCAAGATATGTCACTACGATCATAATTTTGTAGTTGGATTGAGATTACTCAGTTCAACATCCACGAACTCGAAGCAAAGAATAGGTTTTATAGTTGTCCTTTTTAGTCACCGATCAGTCCTAGTTATGGTGCAGATTTACAGGTATAATAATAGCTGGTTAGATAGACTATTGATTTGATTGTCAAATAGGACAAAAAGGGTTAGTGGTGGGCGCAAAGAGGTGGACACACATTATTTTTCTCCATCAAAATATAATTTAGGTAACATACTTTTATGCAGGTGGAAGTCATGTGTTTAGGTCACTCATTGGTCCCAACCTTAACGCTTAACAACCTGATAGACATATGGGTAGATGCCGCATCGAATATGGGACCAGTGTCGGTTAACTGTAATGCAGACAATGGTAATGGCGGAAACTTTGTGATGGAATTAACATATAGAAGAACCAAGAAGCAGAGAGCTCTGCAGTCAAATTTGGATTTGATGGAACCGTGATATCCTCCACCAGCGGATGCTTTTCTTGTTGCTGATGACCTTTTCAGATGATCCAGTGTGGTAAATTGGTAATTTTCATAAAACAGAAATATCTAAAATGGATGCTGTGAATTGAAAGAAGGATTCCAAGTCCCGACCTTGCTACAGGAGCGTGATATCTCCTTAGTGTACCTAGAATACAACTGTTTCAATCAATCATGTTTGTCGTTTTTGTTCATTATTGGGTGTTGATTTCATTAGTTTTGGCCGACTGATATCAACTCAGGTCATCTTAATAATTGCAAACTCAGTCCTAACGACAAGGAGGTTTGTTGTACAGTCAGTTGTCCACCGTAATTTTCGTTCAGCTCATTTCCTCTACATTTAAATCTGGGCAATAGTTGAGATCAGTCCATTCTTACAATTGATCATGACTATTCATAGTATTCTACTTGTCAGTTTCACTTCTGTGTATGCTTGTCTTCTGGCAACAATTTTGATAAAATATATGAACCATGAGAAATTATTTAATTCCTGCTCTAGCAATATCAAGGATAGAGTAAATCCAGAATTAAAACCTCGACACGAGTAGAAGAAACATGAATATTGCAAGTTTTTTAATTACCGAAAGATGGAGTCTCTATGGACCTGATTCTTATTATTATTATTAATCTTTGTTCAACACCAGAAATGCAAACAGATTTAACATCAATTCGGATACGAGGAAGAAGGAAACTGATTACAATAGCAAAACAGAAACTTGGTTTGCTGCAAAGCTTGGTCATTCATGCAGCAGCTGCTCCCTGCAGCTCCTTCACTTTTGCGATATATTCTGTCATCGCTTCTTCTTTGGTCTTCCCCGTATAACATACATTCAGCATTTCTTAAATTCAGATAAGATTAAGGATACCATGCACATCATTTGTTTTTTTCTTTTTGTCCATTTCTATACCTTCAACTGCTTTCCATGCATCCCATTTAGCCCTGTCTGTGGGGCTGAAAATTCCCGGACGATCTGCAGGGTGAATAGTGATATAGTACACCTATCAGGCAACACTCGGCAGCAGCAACCAAAGCGAGGATGGAATGAGAATTACATACCGGTATTAACGTTCCCTACTGTTGCTTGCTTGTAAAGCCCATATAAAGTCAGTTTATCTGCATCTTTCGTTGTCGGAGGTAAGGCCTTAGCCTTGTCAGCAGACTCTTTAAACTCCTCCTACACCACATATTTTTGTGTAGAAAAAAGCAACCTTGTTAGAAATGGGACTTGACAGCAATGAGAAAGAGAATATAAGTAAAAAGAAAATGAAAAATCAGCCCTGAGGTGGAAGAGAGAGAAAAGTTAATATTACCTGCAATGCCATGTTTCGTTGTGGACTATCTATTGCCTGGAAGGTGTAGAAGACCTTTCTCAAGCCAACATGAAGCTTAGCTGCTATAAATGGCAAAATGGGCCCCGGGTGGCGGGATAAACGAGGAAAATCTTTCTTGTAGAAATGATCATGCAACAGACTAAGAGCGTATAAATGTAGATGAACACGAGAAAGAACATAGCATTCCCTTCTAGTTTTGCCACGTGGAACCGGAAATTTATGGACCACATGTGGATTGACTAGGTCTACTTGCTCCTTGCCTCCTCTTTAATAGTAGTAACAGTTTGTCAAGAATAAATGTCATGGTCCCAATCGAAGGAACATAATCATCCTTCTCCTCTAATTAATCCACCGTGAATTTGTATTCGGGTGAAATATAAAAATTGAAAGTTAAGAAGGTGAAGTAAAACTCTTGGCAACCGAAAGGGTGAAATGAAAACACAGGAGAGTTGGGAATTCCTAGAATTTCATTTGATGAATTGACCAAACACATTCACACTGGGCAAATTAAACAAAAGTATGGCAGAGCGGACAAAATCCAATCCAAATACTGTCGGATGGAGAACCGTATTGGCAATAAGTGGCGTCACATTTTCTGGTCACGAAGCTGCTCCCATCTGGGGGCTCATCGTCGCCCACTTGCTCTCTTTCGTCACATTCAATTTTTTAATTTTCTTTCCCAGACTTCACCGCAATCCCCACGTGGGAGCCCACTTGCATTCAAATGCTTGTCCTTTCAGTACCAGTTGCTACACTCTAGATTATCACCACCTCCATGATTTTTACTACAAGGACATGTGGGTTTTTTTAGGAAATGAAAACATGTATGGGTTAATGATGGGGAATAATAAAACTAAGAGCAACTTTAATGGTGGCAACTGAAACCATTGCCGTCAAATTGTCTCCCACACAGGCAACCTACCATGGAGATTACAGATAATCATTGAAATCATTGGGGTTTTAAATTGTGATTAAACAATTTCAATAAACTACACCAGATTAAAACCTGGGGCATTTGGGACCTGACAGCTGCCCGCCGAATAGTGCGTATCGTGCACGGTCGCGTACTGCATTATGCTTGTCTTTTCTTTTATTTAAAGCCACGAAGCAACCAAGAAAGGGAGACGGCTTTGCTCTAAGAACCCTATGGCCCGGATAGATTCTCCTTGCTTTACTAAAATTTACCGAGTTTAGTCCCAATCGCTTTATTAATAATATGACTGGCCCATGATTCCTACGATAGGTCAATTTTGATGGGTTTATGTCGTTTAATTTTTTGTTGACTTATAACATAATTGCTCATTTTTTAAGATTGATGAATGCATGGGCCGTATGACAGGAAAGAATTTTTAAATATTAATTACTCAGTGGTTCTAAGCTTTGTGTTGTCAAATTCTAATTTCATGCTTAGCATATTCATTGTATCAAAGTACTATTTAACGGTTTATGCGGTGCATTAACATCACTCCCAATTTTGTTATGCTTCCAATTCGGTCCTTAGACAGTGTATTTATCCAATAAGACAAGCTATTTGCGTCAATTATTAGCAAAAAAAAAAAAGTTGGTTGAGCTTGACCCATTGGATTTCTGTTGGCCCGAATTAAATTTAAGGATACAGTAACTCTTTTTTTTTTCTGTTCGGGATTTCCAAAGAAGGTTTTTCAATTAACAGGACATACGTAAGCCTCTTATCTTAATAGGGTTGATGACAAAAATCACATTCAATTTGTAAGTCGTACGAATAAACCAACCTTTCATGTTCAACAGAAAGTTTGTCACAAATTGGAATATTTTTGGCAAATTACTTTGTGCTTTTTGAACACACCAGGGCGAGTGTTGATTTTATGTCAAACTCTTCAAAATTTTCAAATATTTAAAAGGAACGAGACAGGGAAAAAAAACTAAACAAATACATATATATATAAAGAAAAAAAACCAAGTAAAAAGATTTTGTGTCTTACTCCATAATTCATAAGTAAAATCGTGCTGGATTTCAAGTTGTAGTGTAAGAATGTATACCAACATGTCTCTCTCTTTTATAGTACTAGATTGAATGTAACATTAACAGTATTTAAAGAAATATATTCACATTTTTTTTATATTTAAAGAATGAGAATTTAAATTTTATTATTCTTAAAAGAGAAATTATGTTTTAATCAATAAATGAAATACTTGTTTGTGATATACCCGTAATATTAAATTACTATAATTATACTTTTATTATAAAATCATTCATATTTCGCTTATTATAGTCCACTACTTGATCATAATATTTTTTCTCCTTCTTTGTTTAATTTAAAATTATAAATAATAATATGTTTGCATTTCAACCTGTGGTTTAATAATAATAATATATTTTTAAAAAATATATTCAAATTTTGTGTACGGATATATAGGTAATGTGGGTTGGTTGCCATAAATGCTAGAAATGATGACAAAGAGGGGTCGAGCCAAATATAAGTGCTTCCGTATCTCGTAAGTGAGGCCGGAGGCGCAAAAACATCAGCGTTCGATTGGGCGTCCCCCCATAATTTTATAATTTTTATCCTCCCCTCTGGCTTTTTTTAACTACTCCTAATAAGGCGTGATGGAGCTGTGGGACCCCTCCCTTAGCATGGCCCCACCACCAGCTGAAAAACAACCAATTTGTAGACTTCGGCTCGGGGATCTGGGTAGACTCGGATACGAACCTCTAGATCTCCCGAGCCTCACCTGACACGCGTCTGTCTTTGATTCGCTCAGAACAGTTGTTCGTAAGATTTTATTGTTGGGGATTTTAAATTGTATCCAACTTCCCATTCTCGGCCAAAACGAAGATCCTCGGGCGGACTTGGGGCAGGCCTATACCATTATGCCACGCCCCACCCACCCTTTTTTACACTGTTAAATACAGGTACGTCGCCCTTCACATTCCTTTTCTAACGTTGAAATTTTAGTTTAAATTAGTTGACATTTATTAGCAATAGTGAAATCATTTTCATCATTTTGCGGAATAGTTCTAAATGTCGATCTTTTCAAGTTATCCTACCCTTTATTGAATGCTTGGAATAATAAATCTTCCTTGACAATTACAAACTAACAGTTCATGACTTCTCTTTTCAGAAGTTTCCACGAACAACAATTCCAATTTTTTCTATATACTTGTTATTCATTAGGTTGTATGTTGGTCACGATTCATTACTTTCTTCTGGTTTATGATGTGAAGTTGAATTATTATTATTATAAGTAAGCTCGTGTTAAAAGATTATACGAATATTTCATAATTATAAATAAATTAATAACCAAATATCTTAGATATAGAATCATTAATTCATTATAAATAAATAAAAAGTTAATAAAAATTTCGAGAAAAATCAAGTCATAATGATCCAAGTATTTTTGCCTTGCGGTTGAGGAAAAGTTAATGCAAGTACGCATCATTGGTGTTCAAATTTTCAGAAATGAATGCGAGATGTGTTCATAAAATCAAACCAATTCAACCAACTAAATTTCAACCAAAACATGACTAAATTGTGTGTAAACTCTTGATTCGGTACATGTTATAAAAATTTAACGGAGTTGCTATACGTAGGTATTTCGGAAGAGAACTTTAAATGTTTTTGCTATTGGATGATGCGTTGGCCTCCAAGTTTGAAAAAGTTAACCCAATAAATTACCACATGCCCCGACGTCTCAAAATTCATTATTAGTCAACATTAACCAACACAATCATGTCTTATAACCACAAAATAAGACCAAGACAATACTATTCAATCAACAAAACTCATTCTAAAAGATCCATGTTTCTTATAACTTGATGTTAAATCCATTCCATCGAAACAAAAAAAATTTAACAATAAAGATTTTATATTTGATCTTAAATAATATATATTTTCGTGTAATAAAGAATGAGACAATTCTTATTAGATTTTATTCGATGTATAATGAGATCATAGAATTAAATACAAAACCCACCTGTATAGCAATTACAAAACAGAATTGCTTTTGGCTTGTAACATGAAATTGAGGCTTGTAGAATTATTTTTGATTTGTATTTTAATTTGTAATTAGTTATCAATCTGTGTGAGAGTTATTAATTGGCATAAAATTTGAGTATTAGAAGATCATTTTGAATACTTAAATAATTTAATAATATATTTCAACAATAAATTGGGTAACAAAAGTATTTTTCAACAACATTGCAGGGGAAATAATAATAATTGTAGATAATATCAAAACACATTTCCATTATCTAGAGGTTTTTAGAAGCAGTTTGAGTCCATTAATCAAAATAGAAAAATAAATCAGAAAATTTACAATTTTTGTAATCTAATCCTTTTCTTTTTCTTTTCTAACTGATTTTTTATTCTGAAACAATTAACTAATTCTAAGAAAATTAAAAAAAGTCTAAAATCATATTATTATTTCATTATTTCTATTTTCTTCTTACTAAAAAAGTACATAATTAACAATAAAGAAAATAAATAAATACCAAATAAAGCAAAAAATGTGCATAACTCTTTCAGGCAATTTTTGGAGCTAATAATTTTATTTTTGCTGTCTTGGTGAACACTCCTCTCTTTTTTTCCCCTTCTTATTTTTGCTCTCTTCCTTACTAAACGACGTTGTTTTCGCTACTTATAAAAACCCTCTTTAGAAAACTTAGTTTATTTTCTTTATCCACTCTCTCTCACTGGGCGCACCTTTTCGCCCTTTCTCTGCAACTTCATTGGAAAAACAAATCTCTATCTCTGAAGCAATTGTCTCTGGTGCAGTTGCCACGCGAAACTCCAAATCCAAAAAACAACACAATTGAAAGGGAATAATGCGAATACCTTAACCGATCGAACCCAAGAAGCAGAAACAGAGAGAAAAATGAAAGAGAAGAAGAAAATAAAGAGACATGGGACAAATGAACAGAAAACAAAAATCCTTTTAATAAAAAGAAAACCCCAAAACAACCGACGGATTGCAAAATGGGAGAGCTGCTACGATCAACTACAGGAAACCCAAAAACTTGGGAAGGCAGGATCCCAAAGAGCAGAAGAATCAATAAGAAGTAAAAATCTAAAAATACCCTTTAAACATAATAAAATATCAAGGGACAAGTGTTCAATGTAATGCAGCTATGTAGTTACGAATCAATATAGTTTAGACATGAAAGGTGCTCAGTGTTTGAGTGAATGCAAAAATTAAATTTTTCTTAATTTTTAAACAAATTTATGTGATTCCCATCTATGGATAGGAGACTCCTATTGGAGTTTGGACAATGTGGTGGCGTTCTTCACAAAAATCATTTTGATTTGGTGATTTACTTTGGAATAACCAAATCCCGTATCAAACCAAGAAAAGGAAAAAGAAAGAAAGAAAGAAAGAAGGGCTGAAAATGACATTAAAACATGTTCCTTCAACAAATACTAAATAATCACACGAAAATAATGACATCAAAGATCAGACTCTATTTTATAATTTATATGGAGATCTCCCATCTACCAAAAACAAACATGAATATAAAGTTGTTTAAGATATCTTGGATTGTGGGGCCTTCTACATAGATGGCAAATTTCCATCAGTGTTCAAATGCCACGTGGCTCATAAGGAACCAGCTCGAATCAAGCTCGTCATGCCAGCCCCCGGATCTGAGTAAAAACACAGAAAGCAATCCCGTTCCCCACTGAATCCAAAACGAAATTAAAAAAGAAAAAAAATTAAAAAAAGGTGGATATATATTTAGAGAATATAGAACTAAAATATTTAGACACAAAGGGGTCCGAGCGTGACTGTCAAATCTACATATTCTCTCTCTCTCTCTCTCTCTCTCTCTCTTTCTATCTAAAAACGCTCTCTCATAATTCAGAAAAACTCTTTTCCTTTAATTTTTGGTTCCTGAGATTCGATTCAATCGGCGCTCTTTTTCCACTCATCCTCGGGAATCCCTCGTCTTCCTTCTTTCAATCTGTGTCTCCTTCCCAGAATATAATGCTCCAGATTTTCAAGGTACATCTATAGAAAATATAATATTATATTTATAATTATTATTTATGTCTATCTGTAGAAAAGAATAAAAAGAAAAACATGTAATAAGATCTCTTTCTTTGTCCTTGTTTCTCTTTTGTTTAGTTAAATTAATGGGTTTTTTTTTTCTTTCAGCTGTTGGCTTTCTTTGAATTTTTTTCCTTTCTTACAAGACTTCGATCTTATCATCAGCGTCGTGTTCTTGTTTTAACACTCTCTTTGGTTTTTTTTTCTTTTGGTTTCCAACCTGGGAATTTTGGTGTGGTTGTGGAAGTTTTGTTTTGCTCTCAGAAAGGATTTTCTTTTGCCAAATGAGTGATGGGTTTTATGCTTCTGTAACTGCAACTTTTCTTCAAAGTACGTTTTGGTTTTTTGGTTTTGAATTCCCAATTTATGGTCCTTGGTTTCCGTTATTTTCCTTCTCCCTGAATTTGAAGCAATTTTTTTTATCTTTTTTCTGTTCAATTTGATAAATAAAAGCTATGTACATTTATGTTGTTTTTGTTTGTTGTTGATATATTTGATTTTCATTTTTGTTAAAAACCGATTAATAATGCTGTCTCTCTGCAGCAGTATAATACTCTCTCATGAGACTAATCTTCTCTGCATCATTGACTATATATATATATATATATATATATATATTTTTTTTTTCTTTTTTCTTTTTTGGTCTTTGAGATTCTTCTTTGAAACTCTGTGCTTTAGGTGGGTATTTTCTGAGTACATTAAAAAAGGTTCCCTTTTATGGAAATGGGATCTGCTTTTTCACATCTCATCATAAATAATGATAATAACAACAATAATAAAAATAAAAAATAGTAATAAGTAGTACTTGTAATATTTTTTTCATGTTTGTTACCTGATCCTTCTGTGAAAAGTAGAACCCATGGAGGCCATGATTTCTACTGCAGGCCTTTGTCTCTGATGCCCAAAATGCCTTAAAACAATTCCAACGCCTTCTTCATGTTTTGTCTGGGGTTTTGCTCTATATAGTATGTTAAGAGTTCGGATATGATTATGGGTATTTATTAAAAATAAATAAATTAGTAGTGTATTACTAGTAGCTTTATTTTTTTTATATAACGCATTTAACAACTGTTGTCTCATCTTTTGTTCGCTCTTATATTTCTTCTTTTCTTTTTGTTTTTTTGGATTCAGGCCCGGTTTTGATTTGATAGAACTCTGACTCAAAAAGTGGGGAAAAAATGGAGGGCGACGCGTTCTCAGGGCTTGGCAATGGTACTCAGATAGATAGCAAGATCGTGCAGACATTTCAGAAGAGCTTTGTTCAGGTTCAGCATATCTTGGACCAGAATAGGCTGCTCATCAATGAGATAAACCAGAATCATGAGTCCAAGATCCCTGACAACTTGAGCAGAAATGTTGGTCTAATTAGGGAGCTTAACAACAACATAAGAAGAGTGGTTGACCTCTATGCTGATCTTTCAAGTTCCTTCACCAAATCCATGGATGCCTCGTCTGAGGGGGATTCTAGCGGTGCTATGAAATCAGACGGCAAAGCTGGTCACAAAAGAAACAGGCCGGCTTGATTTAGAGAGAAAAAGTTGGGTTTTTCTTTTTTATTAGTAATTCTTTTGCATGGTGGCAAATGAAGAATCTTCACAGCTTTGTTGAGGTAGTAGAAAATGGTCAGATTCTGTAACTCCCCTCGTATCAGTGATGAACTGTCTTTAGTTCTCGACTTACTGCTCACATTTGTTAGACAAAATAATCGGTCTAAAATTTCTTCTATTGCATTGTAACTCCGTGTAACCCTGGATCTAATTGAAATGAAGCATGTGGGTGTTCATTTCTAATTTTTGCTGCTGTCTTGGTAATGGGTAATAAAAGTTACTGCTTTTACAATTAAACCTTCTCTTTCTCTTTGTCCTTTTCCATGTTATAAATGTCAATTTTTAGTTGTTTTACAAGGAAGGAGGAGCTGATCTTTTTGTGTCATGCAATTAGGACTTCTTAAATTTCACTGATAGAAAAAGAGGTCTGAGAGCTTTTAGTTTATCCTAACTTTTTCTCTTTCTCAAAAAGGCTGATATCTATTATGCCTCTTTACAAATATTTTCTCTCTCAGATTCTTTGCATGAAGGTTCATTGTCTACTTTTGGATGGAAACTCTCCATTATACCCTTTATTCCCTTTTCAACCTCAATCCAAAGCATATTTCTTCTAGACCTTAGCTGAGAAGTAAACACTGAAAGAGGTCTGAAGGTACTGTTTTCGGTCCTCTCCCATGATACCAAAGCTTCTCTTTGCGGAGGAATCACTGTTAACATTGCTTTTGTTTTTATGCTTTGTTAAGAAACTGAAAGCAGGTTCATACATCTCTGAGAAGATGCTCTGAAAAAATTTGTCGGAAAGCAGCTTTGGATAGTCATTTTGGTTCCCAATCACATACCACCACAGGATCAGAATCTCAGATAAGAGATGATGAGCTTTTGACCAATTTTTTTTTTTAAAAAAACGTTGCAGCCAATGGCAATCTCTTGGATGGTATTGGGTAAATGAAAATAAAGTATTGTATAGGGGAGGGGTTGTTTAAAACAAGGCACTAGAGTTGCTAGGGACAGACAGATATGTGCAAACAGTGACCCGCAACAACATGACAGGGGGCCCAAGGTTCTTCTTTTGGGATGAAACTGAACTTCTCCATGCTTATCCCTTCTCCTACTTAGGTTCTTTCTCTTTTACTTTTCCCCCATAGTTTTTCCCTTTTATTTTATATTCTCTTTATGTAATAAATGTCTTTTATGACTTCCTTCAAGTTGATGATTCCTCGCCTCAGCAGCTCTCGTTCTCTGATTGAGCAGGTGTCTTTGTTGATGGACCCACTTTACATGGCAACCTGATATCCTGATCTTTGGAGAGGAAAGGCCCACATGAGTGATTGCTGGAAAATGGCTTGTTTCTGGTTAGATTTTTTAAATTGGTGGTGAGGGAATTACCTCATCTACCATTTGGTCCATGCTCCAAACGCACACATTCAACTCACTTTATATCTATTATTCATTCTCCCATTGCCTTTATCTGTCATTTAAGCTCATGTTTTTGTTCTTTCTACTTCTTTTCCGTCTCATCCTGACTGATTCTTCATTCTTCCCCCCACCCCCACTGCATCTATGTGCTCATAACAAAACTTTATTGCTACATTATTATTATTAAATCAAAACTTTATAGTATTTGCTTTCCTATCGACTGTTGCAAGAAAAATGTCGGCTAACAACCATTGTAGAGCTAATAGCCACCAAAATGCTTACTGGCGTATTGTATTTGTAAGCAAGTGAAAATTCTGGATTCTGATTTATTTATTCATGAAGCTCAACAACAAATGCATGATCACACCCAACAACATATATAGAAAAAAAAAAAAGAATCTATTCTAAGGAGCAATACGGTTTTGATTATGACAATTAATTTATGGCATAAATATATTTCGGTAAAACGTCTCTCTCAAAGGTGACATATAAGTACAATTTCAAGTAAAGATTGTTATTATCCATATTCAGGCACATTTGTGGAGGCCTTCTCTTTTGAAAATGAAAAGCATATATCTTTTATCTAAACACTGAATGTGATTTTTAGATGCCACCACCACATTTTTTTTTCTCATTGATAATTAAGTTTGGAAAATAAATTTTTAAAATAACTAATTCTTTTTGGAAGTACAAGGTGACCACCATAATTGGGCCACCAATCCTTATTTCTTCTTTCCATGTTATATTCTCTATTTTAATCTCCTTCAATATATAAAATAGTAGTAGTAGTAATTAGTATTATTTATCTGCAATAAGAAATAAACAAAAGTATTAATGTTTTTTGCTTAAGTATAAGGATTATCCTTTAAATATGTCACAATAATGTATAAGATAATAATTTTGAAATAAGATTGAAAAGATATAAATCTTGATGACATCGATCAATATCAAATCCAACGTAGGCCGGCCAGTAAGCACTCTAAGAAATCCCTTTGAATTCCACCAGATCAAACAAAATGGTAATTACCAAATGATGCCAATAATAATAATAATTTGCATAGTTTAAGGTAATCATGTAAGTTGTTGAAGATGGAAATAATTCTGGTGGCTAATTAAAGGGTCTAAAAACCTAGCCAAGACAAATTAAACATGCTATAACATTACATGTGAAATGGGAATCTACTTTTTCTTTTCTTTTTTTTTTGTTTGCTTTCTTTCCTTTTTGTTCCTTGCATTTCCAGCAAATAGGTTGGAAAGGAACCCCAGTCTAGCTTCCCCCACTTTTATCCTATAATAATCAAGGATCTCTTATGGGGTTATCAACATCATTAGTTGGAACAGATTGTGGTCATCCAATTATAATAACCCATGTTTTCCTCTTGAAAACGACTAATTATGCTCTAATTACATTTATTTATAATAACATTAAATAAATGAACATTTTTCAGGAAATGGGCATGGAGATCTCCCAAAGAGATGCAGGAAAAGGGTTATCTTCAGCATTTTCTTAGGGTGACCCACAAAAAAGGAAGTTGCTTTATAACAGATGTATCAAGTAACTAGAGTTGCAACTCTGATTGGGCAATCTTAAAAGAAAACATATGGTTGTTTAACTGATCAAACAGTGAGTGGGTAGGGAAAAAAGGCTTTCCCTTGTCTCCATAATTGTGCATTTGAAAAAGGATAGGATTACAGTTGTCTCATCGCTTAGAAAAAAGTATGTCCATGTACCATTCCCCCTTTCTAGTTTCTTTCTCTTTACTTTGATTTGCAATAGACAACTTTATCACAAGATGCTAAAGAATTCCCAACTTTTCTTTTGAATATCTTTGATGATGAGGAAGGGAGATAAGATTGGAGCTTACGACACAGCTAAACTTATTTTCTTTTCTACGGATTCTATTCTTTTTCTATCGAAACACCCCTTTGTTTTGTTGTCTTTTACTCATTCCTCCAGGTGCAAGTAAATTATTAGGCAGCTTTAGGGGTTCCGGTTCCATGCCTATGTACTGCTATTTGCGCAATGAAAAAGCTGGAAGTTCCGTGATTTGTTAGGCACCTTTAATTTAAGCTCTTCCCCCTTCATTCTTCAACCCAATAAAAGGATACTCTTAATTATGAATTGAAAGGCTAAAACATTTGTGTATGTTAATGAATTCTAGCCTCCAGGCTAGACCATGCTCTAGGGTAGTATATGTAATAAAATTTACTTCTTTTTAAGTATCTAATAGAGAATCTATGCTTAACGAGTATGTTTGAGTGCACTCTTTAATATTACTATGTAAAGTATTATTTTCACTCGATATTTTGAAGATCATCACTTTAAATATCAAATATTTTATTCAATATAAGAAAATATTACTGTAAGCAAAATTTTGTGTTATAACTAATATTAGTGAATGCTTAATTTTCTACATTGGTATTACGAATCTAAAATACTAAGGAATATTCATTTTGATCTGACAAATTGAATAAAATGGTCAATTAATGAAACTTTATTTCATAATGTAGTCGTAGTATAGCTGGGTCGAAGTAATGGGCCGCCAGGTTTGTAAAGAGGAATGGCTTTCACTTTTCAGGTTCATCGGGTCTGAACTATGACCTTCTACGGGCCCTTTCCTTTTGTAGATGTGATCCAAATAATCAAACCCGGTCCACGTTTGAAAATTATCCATATAAGCCGCGGTTCTAAATCCCAAACCCTAGCGAGGGTTTGCAGCCGTCTTAAGATCTCATCTCTCTGCAGCTTCCCTTCCTTCCCCTCACTTTAACCCAAAAAGCATGGCAGCTCAAATCAGCAAAAAGCGAAAGGTATTGCCTCCAGTTTCTTCTTCTCATTTCTTCCATTTGTTTCGTAAATTTCATCGAAATTATTTTGTTTATTTCCCATCACTTTCAGTTTGTGGCTGACGGAGTCTTCTTTGCGGAACTCAACGAGGTCTTGACCAGGGAGCTGGCTGAGGATGGATACTCTGGAGTCGAGGTCAGAGTTACCCCCATGCGCACCGAGATCATCATCAGAGCCACCCGCACCCAAAACGTTCTCGGTATCTTTCTAAAAATATTGTTCTTTTTCTAGACCAAGGCTACTTCTTTTTTGATTCTCGATTTTGAAATTTATGATAATTGGGGATTGTAGGTGAGAAAGGGAGGAGGATTAGGGAGCTGACCTCAGTGGTTCAGAAGCGATTCAAGTTCCCAGAAAACAGCGTTGAGCTTTACGCTGAGAAGGTCAACAACAGAGGCCTTTGCGCTATTGCTCAGGCCGAGTCTCTTCGCTACAAGCTTCTCGGAGGTCTTGCTGTCCGAAGGTACATACTGAAAATTGATTCATTTTACAGATTTTAAAGCCTGTTAATGCTAAATTTAGTGTTCATGTCAATGTGCGACTTTATATGCAATATATTTAATTGAGTTTAAATTATTAGAGTTTGTTAATGGTTGTTGTATAACGTCATCTACAAAGCAGATTGGTATTTCACTACCAGTTTTTGTGTCGGAAGATGACAAAAGCTATTAGATAATATATTTCCTCTGTTCCATAATCCTGCTGAAAATTCATTTGTTTTTCTTGCAGTAACCTTAGGGATGGAACAATGCCAGTTTTTTTCTTCTTAATTTCTTATTGTGATATGTAATTGATTTTGTATGCGAATGTGATGTATTTATAGATGTCAAATGACCTGGTTGTGCATATGAAAATTTGCGAAATCTATGTTTTCTTTTGTTCATTTTTGGTTTTAGCCAGGGGTTTCATGACATTTTTTGACTATATCTAGTCATCTATAAAGCAAATAGGTTATTCCTGTACCGATTTTGTGTCGGAAGATGACAAGATTAATTCAATCCTCCATCCCATCATCCTGTTTGAAATTCATTGTTTTCTTCCAGTAACATTTGGGAGGATACATCTTCAGAGCTATCGATTTCATTATTCATTTTTTGGTGCAATTATTTGGTTTCTCTGTGTGTATGTTATGGATTTTATTTGAAATTTGTGAACTTGTTGATGTTGTCATAAATGGTGTAAATTGGTTGTTTTTGTTTGTGGATTCAAGCTGATAGCTGGGATGGTTGATATTCTATTTCAGGGCTTGCTATGGTGTCTTGAGATTCATCATGGAGAGTGGTGCCAAGGGATGCGAGGTTTGTAAACTAGCTGATTTTGGAGTTAATATGACATTGTGTCCTTTATTTGACTTATGTTTTTAACTTGTATGTTTTTTTTGCTTCCTTGTGCAATAGGTTATTGTTAGTGGAAAGCTAAGGGCACAGCGAGCCAAGTCTATGAAATTCAAGGATGGGTATATGATTTCTTCTGGTCATCCAGTCAATGAATATATTGACTCTGCTGTCAGACATGTTCTTTTGAGACAGGTTCGCAATCCATTTATTTTCTCTGGTTTGCCCCATTTGATTGTCATTTCTGACCAATTTTAGGATTGTTAACACAGGGGGTACTAGGTATCAAGGTCAAGATCATGCTCGACTGGGATCCCAAGGGTAAGCAAGGCCCTACAACTCCACTACCTGATCTTGTCACAATCCACCTTCCCAAGGAGGATGAAGAGACCGTCAAGTTTAAGCCCGAAACAACAGATATTGAGATTCCGGTGGTCGCTTAAAGCTCAATGATGACCATTTTGATGATAGTTTTCTATTTAATTTTGGGAGTATGCAATTGCCGTAGTTTTTGAAGCCAAAATTTGGCCCCAAAGACCGCTGCTGGATGCTTTTGTATTTTTCTTTGATGTTTCTCAAATTTTGTTACACTAAATTAGTTTTCATTAAGGATTTATTATTTTTTGAAGTTTATAATGTCATTTTGGTCTCTGCCTGTGGTTGGTGTTTCATTCTCTGTTGAGGCAGGCATTTGAAATCTTCAGACAGTATGATGAGCGTTGCGGTGTAATGCTGTATTTTACTTCTTACTGCACACTCTTTTGTTTAGAACACTCTTTTTTTGCCAAGAAAATGAGGAGAATAAGAGAATGGAGAGCTAAAAATAAATAATTGTTTTGAATGCCATGAATGCTGAAGAAGATTATCCATTTGCCCCCGGTAGAAGCTTTCCAGAGTCTTTCCAAAATGGGTAATGCTCCTGCCTGGTGTGTGCTGGTTGGTTAACGGTTATCAAAAACTTCCAAGCAAACTTATTTTACTCTCAAATCGAGTTTGTAAAGCCTCCGCTAGGGGTCACACAAGAAAGACGAAAAAAAAATAAAAAACCCACAACGCTGCGTTTAGAGTGAAAACCATCGATCGAGGTTCAAATGACCCGCCAGGTATGCGGGCTTGTGACAGTAAATATGTCCTAAACAGAATATTGGTGCCCATTTTCTCGTTTCAAAAATCAAAACCAAATTCTCCTCCATCTCAAGTCGGTTATATCTTTTTCCCCAAATCCCCGCCATCGGACCATTACCTTACCCCTCTATCGTTTCTCACTATGCTTCTCCCTCCTATCAATTGCCGTTAATCTGTCTAAAAATTCACCCCAAAAAATTTTAAATTCCTTCACATTTTATAGGCCGTTAGGGTTTTTGCTCGCGAGATTTAGTTTTAGTCGCGAAGATGCCAGTTAATCTCACGCGCAACGCGATTGCGTCGATCAACGCTGGCGATGTGAACTCCAAGCCGTTGGTTCAGGTGGTGGATATCAAGCTGATTGGCAACTCTCAGGAGAGATACCGGTTTCTACTATCCGATTCCGAATCCGCTCAGCACGCGATGCTCGCCACTCAGCTCAATGAACAAGTTAGGACCGGACGAGTCGAGAAAGGATCTATCATCCAGTTGATCGATTACATTTGCAGCACTGTTCAGAATCGCAGGTGCGATTGACTGCTTATCTACTTGAAACTAATCAATTAATTTGAATGTTGATATACGAATTTTTTTTGGAAAGTAAGTGTTGATATACGATTATGTAGTTTCAAAATTCAGTTTGGGAAGACTTGAGATTCAACTTTGAACCTTTTATTTTTTAAAATACAAGAGCAAAGTTCGTTTTGCTTTTTTTTTGGGGGGTTGAAGATTTGAGAAATTCAAATTCATTTTTATTAAGCGTCCAAGTTGATTGGTGCCTTGAATACAAAGTTGAAGGAACTTTTAAGCGGATGAATTATCGTTAATCCTATCTGCTCCTAATGAACTTAAATAAAAGGTAAGCCTAGGACCATTGTTGAGTAGATTATTCATATTCAAGATATCACTTAAAGTAAGGAGGAAACGAAATCATATTATTCATTCTCCACAGTGTATAATTTGAAATCAAATATGTTACATAGCCTTCAGAAACATGTTTTGAAAATAATTACGTTTCATGCCTTATAAGTCACTACATGTTCGTGGAAGTTCTATTGCTTTCAGCTCTTTTGATTGATAGTTGGTGACATGTTCATTTAAGAAGTCTTGGATAAATTTTTTTGTTGTTCTCTCTGTGTAGGATTATTGTTGTTCTGAATATGGAGACTATAATTCCAGAGTGTGAAATAATTGGGAATCCAAAACTTCTTACGGATTCTGATTCAGCAAGGCCTAATAGCAATTTGGAGCCTTCAGTGAAGTCTAGCAATTATAAATATAGAGCCAATGTTCCCACTAACAATGTCCAGAGTTTTCGCCCGACTATTCAACCCCCGTACCAGCCGCCTCCAAATTACAAAATTCAGGGCCCAATAATGAAGAATGAGGCACCAGCACGGATTATTCCTATTGCTGCTTTGAATCCTTATCAGGGTCGTTGGGCAATCAAGGCTCGTGTGACTGCAAAAGGGGATCTGCGTCGCTACAACAATGCTAGGGGGGATGGGAAGGTCTTCTCCTTTGACCTCCTTGACTCTGATGGAGGAGAAATACGGGTGACCTGCTTCAATGCTGTTGTTGACCGCTTCTACAATGTTATTGAAGTTGGTAGAGTCTACTTAATTTCAAAGGGTAGCTTGAAACCTGCACAAAAGAATTTTAACCATCTGAAGAATGAGTGGGAGATATTCTTGGAATCAAATTCAACTGTGGAGCTTTGCCCTTATGAAGATGGCTCTATTCCAAGACAACAGTTCTCCTTCAGACCTATCTGTGAAATTGAGAGTGCTGAAAACAATTCTATACTTGATGTTATTGGTATTGTGATAACTGTTAACCCTTCAGTTCCTATTTTGAGGAAGAATGGTATGGAAACTCAGAGAAGAATTCTGAATTTGAAGGATGCATCTGAAAAGAGTGTTGAGCTAACCCTTTGGGGTGATTTCTGCAACAAGGAAGGTCAAAAGCTGCAAGAGATGGTTGATTCTGGGTTTTTCCCAGTTTTGGCTGTTAAAGCTGGCAAGGTCAGTGACTTCAATGGAAAATCAATTGGCACTATTTCTTCCACGCAGCTCTTTATAAATCCAGATTGTCCAGAGGCACAGGGTCTTAGAGACTGGTTTGAAAAAGGGGGGAGGAATACTGCTTCTATCTCTATTTCCAAAGAAAATTTGCCTGGAGGATCCAAGAATGAGATACGTAAAACCTTGTCTCAGATCAAGGATGAGGGTCTTGGAAGATCTGATAAGCCAGATTGGGTCACAGCAAGGGCGACTGTAGTTTTCATTAAAACAGATAATTTCTGTTACACAGCTTGCCCATTGATGATTGGAGATAGACAATGCAATAAGAAAGTGGCACGGTCGCTTAAAAATAAATGGCTGTGTGACCGTTGTAATCAAGAATTTGAGGAATGTGAGTACAGATATCTTCTCCAGGTTCAGATTCAAGACCATACAGGACTGACATGGGTAACAGCTTTCCAGGAATCTGGGGAAGAAATCTTGGGATGCTCAGCGAAGGAATTGTACTCATTGAAATATGAATTGCAGGATGATACCAGATTTGGTGAAATTATTCGCAGCAGACTTTTTAACCAATATGTATTTAAGCTTAAAATCAAAGAGGAACTCTATGGTGATGAACAGAGGGTGAAAATCACTGTAGTCAAGGCTGAAAAGGTGAACTACTCCGTCGAAAGCAGATACCTTCTAGACTTGATTTTGAAGAATTTGCAAATTAGAAAAAAATTTTGAACGAAAGTAATGATTTTAGGAGCTGGAACTTTGGTCCTATGTAGTTGATTAACATTTCTTTGGCATTATTTGTTACACAATTGTTGTTAGTGATTCAAGTTTTGAATATGAATTGATCAAATATTGTAGGGATCTTTGAAGAAATGTATAGTGGCTATAATTCTGCATGTTCTTAATCTGAGGTGTTGCATGTTATTTTTTTTAAAGTAAAGCTTAAGTGACTTGAGCTAATGATATTGCTTATGCAGCATAATCATTTCAGCAGTCGAAGTTTGATGTATTGAACATTAAATCTACACTGCCATTGGCCGGTTTCGCCATAGAATGTTTTGTTAGATTCCTGATGAAGCAACCTAAGAGATTGGAATCCAATGTAGAAGATCCCTACACATTGCTGCATAAACTTCTGTTTGTTTCCATAATTTAGCTGCACGCAATCTTTTTATTTATGGTTTATGATTGCCTATTAGTTTGAAAATGCCATGGCCCAGTTAATATTGTTTGGGTCTGCTTTGCCTTCACGGAGGTTGATCAATCATGATGGTTCTGCAAGGCTTTGTGCCAGAGCAACGCATCCATTGACTTGTCCTATTTCTGAAGGGGATGTGTTTGCACCGATTTTGTATATAAGAGATAGAAATTTCAGAATTCACAGGGTCTCAGCCACAAATTACACGCACTCAGAAGACAGAGTTCATTAATGGAAACATCGAACAGATACATAAACAGGGTTTTTTTTTTATCCAAAAAAGAAAAAATTCACTGCATCCCAGAATTATATGGCTCAGCTACGCTTGACAGGGTCGAAGTTGGCCACACCAATCACGGCTCCAACAATGGCAGCAAGCACTACACCTCCAGCTACAATGCTAAGCAAGAAGTTCTTGAGGGATGGGGTAATTCCATCGGCGGCTTGAGCCACCTCGGGGATCACCATGGATGTTGTCAGTGCAGCAGCTGTCAACCCAGCGACCGCCTTCTCCTTGAGTGAAGAAGCCTTGACTTCCGGCCTCCCGTTGGGTCTTGCAGGCGCCAATGCCCTCGATGGCTTGACCGGCAGTGGCTTGAAGAAAGCCTCGGAGCTTGGCACCCTCTTTTGGCTAGCACGAGTTAATGGCAGAGCCATTGTAACAGCTGAAGTGGAAGCCATTGGTTTTCTTCTGTGTCTCGCCCTGAGTCTAAAACCAACACCTTCTCTTCTTGTGAAAATTTTCTTCTATGGAAATAGAGAAGACGGGGTGTTGCAATGTGTGTTTTTGAGAGCAGGGGAGATGGAGGAGGGGTGTAATGAGAGGTGGAAATTAGAGATATCAAGTGGCCTTGTCATCTCAATCTCTGTCCTATGTGGCAGCTTCTCAAGCTGGAATTGATGGATAAGGTTATCTTATTGGTCCAATCCCGCATCAAGTTTCAAATTTGGGAGAGAGTTTGTATGGCTGGCCACCCACTGACCCAGAAAGAAAAGGGACTGATTTCTTTTCTTCTAGTCTGTGGTTCTTATCTATTTGGGCTTCTTTTGGGCCCATTAGTTGGGCCGTTGGCCGGTTTACTTTGACCAAACTATCATCTTAAAAGAGTGTAATTATTATTTTAAGAATATAAGTGGATTTACTCTGAAATAACATTATTAATTTTGTTTGTATGTCAGAGTCAATATTGAAGCCAAAAACTAGATGAATTGAAGTAAAAATATTTTCTGACTAACTTGCCAGCTAATAAAAGTTTACATAACCTTTTTCTTAATTATATATTAACAACATTGTGAAAATTGATTTATAAATTCATTTCCATTGATGTTTATAGGAATGTAATAGGCAGATGATAGTTTGTTGAATTTAAAATAGTAATTAATTTATCTGAATGCTTAAGTTAATCAAGGTAAAACATTTTTAACTTTCTCTAAATCTCTTTTTTTTTTTTAAAAAAAAAAAAAGAAAATACATTTATTAATATATATATATTTCAAACCTTTACCAATATCTCAATTTTTAATACAATCCATATTTAATATCTCAATTTCCTTTTTTTTAATATCTTAAATTTAGAAACTCGTGAATACTCTGAAGAAAAGAAAGTTTAACTCCATCCATGTAGTACCGGGCAATAACAGAGCTTGTTAAATCGATAATTGATTGAAATAATACAAAAAGAATTTCTCAACTTGAAATTAACCAACAACGAAAAGAAAACAATGCAAGCTATTTTTTCACCAACAAAAAAATAAAAAAATCATATGAAACAAATAAAATCGTCCAGTATTTAATGACATCATGCCATCATCGAGTAGGTTGATGAATTGCTGAAGCTGGTGCCGACCCAACATAGGTGACCAGAACTTCTTGAGGAAGAAGATGATATTTAATATCCAGAGCTTCGAAAATTCTCTTCAGTTCTAAGACTAGTTCCGATCTCCGGCTGCTCTTATCTCCATAGTTCTGAAAGTTTATGGTGTGAGTAACATAGAGTCCCATTTTCATCTTGTTCACATCTTCAATGTCCTTAACTTGTACACTGTGTCCGGGGCGCCAATGCTGAGGCTTACCATCCAGGTACCTGATGGAAAGTAGCAAAGTCATATATGCAGCATGGTACATATTCGAAATCAAAGGTAAGTAAGACATCTTTCAAGCATTGTTGCACAACTCCAGCTAGGATATTGTATCAATAAGTTCCATCCATAGCTTATAGCAGTATATTTGCGAACATAACAGTGAAGAAAGTTTTGAGTCAACATACTCTTTTATTTTAGCTTTCAAAGCTCCAATTTGCTCTACTGATGTGGAAACATCAACAGTGAACTCCACAGAATCACTCATCTCTGGGCTCCTGTAAAAATTGCTGATTGGTTTGGTAGCTAGAACTGAATTTGGATAGAATATTTTCTCGTTGTCATATCTCAAAAATACTGTTGTCAGAATATTCATCTCTTCAACGACCATCTGGAAGGCAAAACTATGTCAATCAAGGTGGTCTTACTATAATAGAGCTATATGTTTTCTTAGATTAATCATTCACCTGTACTCCATCAATGACACAGCGATCACCTACATCAAATGGGTGCATCACAAATACAAATATGATGGCTTCAAATACAATCTTTGCAGTGTTACCAAACATGAATGCCACAAGTAAAAGCTGAGAGGAAATGAAGACAAGTATTTGGGTTGTTAAAAATCCCATCATAAGTAACCACACAATGATGATCACAACAACCAGAATCACTGAGATAAGCCTGTTCAGCTCTTCAATTGCTGTCTTTGTGTCATTTAAGGAGTGTGCCAAAGATTTGCGTTCAAAGTAAACATTCACCTGCAAACATGCAGCAGGCAACTGGATAAGTTTGAAGCGCATTCATCTCGTTTAGTTCTGAACTTCTAAAATGATGCTCGAGAACTTCATGTCATAACTTACAACAACTAATTATAAGCAGCATATTCAGGATAATATTTTCATTGTCACAATTCTGGCAGCAAAACACCATTCACTAAATCTACTTTTGCATATTCAAAGCTGAAACATCAAAATTTGCAAGCAAACAGAGACCCAAAGGTGTTGTTTGAACCAATATTAAATGAAACAATAATCCAAATCATCCAAATTGATGTAGAATACTCAAAAAGGCCTATAATAAAAACAGCATAAGAAACGTAAAAATATAATATACAATATAGTAATAATAATAATATAACTGATAAAGAACTTGCCAGCCAGTTCTTTAAAGTTGATCTTTTGATCTTTCCAGTTTCTACAGCTCCTTCAAACAGTGGAAGCACATTGTCCACTTCCTCCTTTTTCATGTAGCGCAAGAGGTCGTCCTCTTCAATGTACCTAGTCCATTAATTAGAGAGCTGAGACTTTCTTTAAGCAATGAAATCATCTTTAAAGCTTTTCAAAAAAAATAAAAATTAGAGAGGTGAGACAATAACAGAAAAAACTATTATACGATTGAAGAGTTTTGATAAGTTAGATATACTCACTTGCTACCAGGCTTTGCTACATTTTTGAATATCCGATAAGCAGCAGCCTTTGCTTCCCATTCACTAGTTATTTCTTTACCCTTTTGCTCATTCTCTTCATCATCAACATCTTCAATGTAGTTTGCAATAGTAGACAGCCCTGAACCACTTATCACATTAATTAATCCTTTCATGGTCCACGCGGATACTTTCTCTTGCTTCATTTTCTTAAGTCTGGCTACATCAATCACCTCTTGCTTTTCCCCTCCCTTATCTTTGATCAAATTCTTGAAACTCAACTGACCTATGCTAGTACTGCTCCCAACCTTTTCTGCCATCTCCATCACGGGCGGACCCGACAGAGCTCGAAGAATGTACTGATGAAAAATCGATTCCTGAATCCTATCAAAGAATCTTGTACATTGGAAAGAAGAAGCCAATAGCTTCACAAAAAGCGTTTTCACCAGCCATATAGCTGATCCAATGAGACAGGAAGCAAGAGCTCTAGTAATATAATTTAGAATCCGGTTAGTTTTCTTTGATCTCTTAACTCCAAGGTTAAACAACAAACCCCATGCTAGAAGAACCAAACCCAACCAAACAAATACCCGAACGCTCCCTTTCAATCCGAAAACAAAATATAAAACCTTCTTCTTAAGCAGATAGTTCTTTTCAATCAAGAATACAACAATATTCATCATCCATTCAGTAAACAATCTACCGCAAAAAATAACCAATATCAACACACACCACTTCCACAATTCCAAACCCCAAATCATAGTTTTTTCCAGCTTGTGCACAGTTAAACTAGCAATCAGAAGCCCCATAATGCAAATAAATGCTACAAACTCGATCAAAAGTAAAATCTTCCACTTTTTACCTGAATTTTCACTCTGTTTGAGATCAGCAGTCTTGTAAACCTCCTCATCATCTTCCTCCTCTATGCTTGGAGAGATTAAAGGCGTTTTTGGAGTAACGGGGGCTGATCTCAAATTCTCTTTAGGAGTAGTAGCTTTGTTGCTTGGTGACGCTGCACTAGGTGAGTTCCGATAAGGTGATGAGCTTAAATTCACCATCTGGGTACTCTTTTCTTCCACCAATTTGATATCATTTGGATAGGCCGGCTCTACCAATCTTGATTTTGGCTTCGAAAACGCTGACCTTCCAAGGGACTTTCTTGGAGTAAGCTTCTTATCGGCTGGAATTTTTGGCGGCTTATTGGGAGTAGGACTCATCCTTGCAATCTCACTAGAAGGAGAAGGAGAGGTTTCGGGCGTGGAGACTTGGACTCTAGGATTCTCAAGCTGTTTCAGCTCAACATTCTTAGGAGAAGAGTAAGAACTAGCTTCCGTCATTGAAGAAAAAGTTTTAGAATCATTATTTTCCTCATTGAAGACAAAAGAATCCTCAGGACTCGAAATATGGAGAACAACATCGTTTGTTCCTCTCTTCTCCACCAAGCCTTTTCCAGCTTCCATACCAGCTTTACTCTACTATTGAAACCCAAACTAGCCACTTGATTTCAATCACTCATATTCTGCCCAGTTTCTGTTTATTTTCTAGGGAGATTGAAAAAAAAAATAAAGAAAAATGGTTAAATTTTCTTCTGGTTTTTTTTTTCTCAGGAAACTAGAAGAACAAGAAGGGCAGAACAGTTAAAGGCAGAAAAAAATGATCAACAACGACCCTTTGATTTGGAATAACGCAAAATATTAGTCATGCATTAATTGCTTTTAACAACATAAATATAGCAATAATTTCCAAAAAAAAAAAAAAGCCAATCTCGAAAAAGACAGGAAAGCTAAAAAACCCATTACACAACAAACGTTTTCGGCAACCAACAATGCTCTGTTTCGAGCTACAAAAAGTTGACTGAGAAGAAATACTAAGAAATATAGTTGCAGAATGCAGACTTTCAGATCAGGCTCTGGAGTCTGACCCTGTGGCCTTCGCGGGCTGCCCTGCTTTTAAAATAAACAGCCACATTCCTGACCATCTATAAAAAGACAAGACACAACTTGCACCTTTTTCAAGTCCTCCATAATAGTGACAGTGATGGTTAATATTACACTATTTTATTTATCCAATTATTAATTTAGTGTAGGTGAGGGTAAAACGGGGATGTGAAACCTTGATGACTCAAGGCATGGCTGAGCTGGAGCAGAGTGCAGGTGGGGGCTGAGGAGCAGGCTGGCTTAATTGGTTTTCCATTTTCCTAAAGGATAATAATTAGTACTATTATGGTTTGTTTAATAAACAATAAACGTGGAACATGTGCTTTTTTGAGATTAATGATACCGACAAGGATCATGTCAACCTGGAGGGAGTTCAAGTCAATTTCTCTAGCACAACAATTTTGGGGTTTAATGGTTTATTTCATAGATAAAAATTGCTTTTGACTCCATAACCACATGAGTTAGGCACATGGTGTACAGTAGGACTGAAAGTATAAAAATATATAATGAAACAGTTTCAAGGTGTTAAATAGTTTTTAATATATATATAAAACAGAATAAATTAAAAAACAAACCAAATAAATAAATTAATAAGTCAACCTACGGATAAGAGTTTGGATAAAAATTTTGATCTTTGTTGTGATATACTTTTATATATAAATATAACATTTAACATAAATGAGTGAAAATAAAGATAAAAAATAAATTTAAAATTTAAAATTTTTAAGAATTTAAAAGTAAATATTACATTAAAAAAAATTCTCTCCAACTCCGTCTCTATTTTTATTATTTAATTTAAGTGATCTCTATATTTTTAAAGCTCCTCATATCTGGTTAGGGTTCCTTACATGAAAAGAAACAGGATATATAATTGTATGCACCTTCCTGTCTATCGTTAGTCCTTCCCTGCTTTAACATTTGGTTTAAACGCTTGATTCCTCTTTGTATTTTATGCTTTGAATTATCTGCATGACTGTATTAATTTATGTTTTGTTTCCAATGGTGTTCAAAACCTTTTGTAGTTAAGCTATTGTTGTATCATATTGGTAATTGCATATTCTACTATATACACAGAACTTTGGGCAACTGGATGATACTGCTGGCTGGGATGCAGGGGCTTATTGAGAAGGAAAGAGCTAATTAGGGAAGATGTTCCATATTTTCTTGCTTAATAACCAAATTAATTATTTGGTTTCTTTTTGACTTTTTATATAACAAAAGAGAAAGTAACCGAGTTTTTGCTATATTATTCTCTTCATTGACCTCAGTGCATGTTAGCATTTTAAACGTTGCTTGTTTTAAATCATGGCTGTGAGTAGATAATACGAAACAAGACATTAGATTAAAGATGTAAAAAGAGAAAGAGAGAAATCTTATAACAATGTATGTACAACCAAAAAGCATTACACCAAAATCTGAAATATTATCAGGTCATCACAAGCTCACCACTGCTCCTTCCAAGGCTACCATTAGGTTTTATATACCTAAGGTAAAAGAAATAAGAAGAGGAACGAAAAGCGAAAATAGCATGAAGATAAGGGCACTGTAACAATGCGGCATGGAGAGCTTTTCTCTTGGTTGTCTCAGGATGATGGGCTCATAATCTGTCTGAAAGAAGAATGCTGATTCGCTAAACATGTGTGCCGATGGAAGTCTTAAACGATCAAACTGACCATTCTTGAAATTATAAAATATTGCCGTATAATATCCTTGCATGAAGATCATATCAGCGTTATATAAAGTATAAGCCGAATAAAAGCCATTCTCTTTGCAAAAGGCTGCCAAATTTACTGTGTGTTTTTTACTCCAAAGCTTCCCATAATAATCTTTCATGATCCATAACTCCAAAAGAGGAATCTCTGGTCTCTGGTGGATTAATGCCAGTTTCCCTTCATACTCTGCAAGGTTCACATGGTAGCAATGATCTCTGTGGCAGAATGACTCTGGCAGTGAAACGGACTCCCAACTCTCTTTATCTTCATAGAAAGATAGTATGTTCTTTTTGTCACCTGTGGACGTAAGCCAATGCAGCCCACCATATGCAGATATAGCATACCCCAAGTCGAAAAACTCGTCATAGGATAACATTACATCATTGAGTTGCTTCCAAGCCCAAATTTCTGAATCAAAAACTTCGCAGGGATAACGTCTGTAATTATCGCGCTCTGGCTCGGAATACTCCGACTCAAGCTCTGGATCCTTCGGCTCGGGATCTGAAACTCGAACTAGCTTGAACCGTAAAGGGTCTGATCCAATCACCAGCATGGCAGTCTTACAAGTGAAGTATCGAGGATTTGGGTTTGGTATGGTTTCCCATTGCCTAGTGCTGGGCTTACAAACATAATGGCGGTTTTGTGAACGTTGGCTCTCGCAAAACATCAGACCTTGATCAGCGGTAGCACGAATGTGCACATTCTCAGGTAGAAAATCAAGGGTTAACTGATCGGAATCAACACCTGGATTGTCTATGGAACAAAAGGTTGAATAGCCCCGACTCTTTTTTGAAGTTTGAATAAAATATCCGGCTATTGTGTTTGTTCTCTGACAGTGAAGACGCATGAACCTGGATTCATAGGTGAGACTGTTGCATTCCCTGGAGAGAAGTCTACACCTCCTTAGCATCTTCAATGGCATTCGTGACAAAATCTCAAACATGACATCGGAGCTCAAATCACAGGGCTTCATTGTGAAGAAGAAACAGAGACGCCAGCAGACGAACAAACTAGGACTGGGATAATAAAACTTTGGTTAAACACCACGGGAGAATCAATAAGTAATATACGGAGGGCCACAAGGACTAGTTCTTGTATTTCGAATATTATTAGGAAACGTTTTATTTTCAAAATCTCCTGGAAACTTGATAGAAAAGAAAGAGGTGATAGATCAGTCCTTGTTTGGACTTTTAGACCTAGAGACTTTTTCTCCCCGGTAAACAACCTGCCACCCTCCAATCCTCATTTTCTTTCCTCCCAGAAATTTCGAATATTATCCCACACGATTACTATTGAAACCTCTCTGAATTTGTATACGTTTGGTAAATGGTGACAACTTAAAGTTCTTATATCTTTCTCTTAAATTTTTTTTGCCAGCAAATTCTTTATATAAACTTTCAAAGGCCTCTCCTTAAAGACACAACTCTCTTATTAAGGTATTTTTATGTCTTAAACAAATTTTTACATGTTACAAAACATAATCTTTAGATAAAAATATTGTCCCAATAATTATATTATAAAAAGATAACCATTTATACTATAAAGCATAATTTTTTAAATTTCTGGATTTTTTTTCAAAAATACCTCTCATGCATAAGGTGTTTTTAAAAATAAATTTTTTTATAATTTAAATTATTTTGTATAAAAAAATTAATTTTAAATCAAATTACCTTTAATAAAATCGAACCATATATTTAGGTTCTCATCTCAAACTGACTCATATTCTTTAAACTTTTCTTGTCGGACTATTTATTTTTGGAGTATTTTTTATCAGAAAGAAAAATCTTTTAACATGTTGAGTATTTTGAAGTGATTTTTGATACACGAAGAAAGATCCTTAAGTGTTTTGATCATTTTTAAGTATTTTGGAGTAGTTTTTGATATATGAAGAAAAACATTTGAGTATTTTGAGTGTTTTTCACCAATCAGGCATATTAATTGATTATGTTATTAAATAGAATCTGGTATATTAGTTGAAGTTATTGATTTTGTTAAATGAAATTTAATAGTTTTTAAGTATTGCGTAATCGATTTTTAGGCATTACGTAACTAGTTTTAAGACATGGTATTACTAATTTTTAAACATTGCGTAACTGGTGGATATGACATTGAGTGATTGGTTGATAGGCATTGCGTGACTGGTTATTAAGACATTACATGACTAGTTAATAAGACATTATATGATTAGTTAGTAAGAAATTGTGTGACTTAGGTATTGTTTAAAAATCAGTCATACAATACCTAAAACTAGTCATGCAATAATTAAGTCACGCCATATCTAAAAATCAATCTCGTAATACTTAAAAATCAATGATTTAATGCGTAAAAATCAATAATATAATACCTAATAACAAATTGCTTTACTTGCTCACAATCAGGTTTAAGTTGCCAAATTTATACAATATTTTAATATACAAATATATTTAATCAATTTTAATCATTCAATTTTGGGGATTTTATGAATAAACTAATAAATCCAAGAACCTAAAACATATACTTTGATGTTATCTTTGCTTTTTGATATGACGAGAAAAAGCTGGATAGTGAGATAAATAGAATTTGGCAAGAGAGAAAAATTGAGATTTAATTTTAAAATTTTTATCTGGATAACAGGATAGAGAAAATTGAAATTATTTTAATTTGTCTAAAATTGTCTAAAGGACATTATTGTCAAGTTATATCAAAATTTAGCTAAAAATAGTTAAAATTAAAATAAAGAATATTTTTGAATTGAGCTTAGGAGGAGGATTATTTTTCATAATTTCCTCTAACTTTTGAGTAGTGGTATTTTTTAATTGTCTTATAACTTTTAGATTTATAGATGCTTTTTCAAATGTCATTTTATAAGACCAATAATTTAATAGTCACATTATGTGACATAACTTTTCAATTGATGTATCTATCCAATAATCATGACTTATCATTTTGAAAATACACCAACACTATGTGCTTAGCTCAGAATAAATAGGCGTTGCTGGGAAAGCTTGAATTGAAAGAAAAAGAAGGCGAGGGAGTTCAAAATTGGTGAAAATTGTAGATGGAGAATTGAAGCACTTTAATTAAAATTTCTTTAATTTGGAGAGGCACTGTTTCTTTGGCTAGGAAAGCAGTTGGAGCCTTGAACAAAAGCAAGTTGAGTTGACTTATAAATACCTTTTCATCTGTTATAAAGCGATATCTTAGATCCTTACTATTAAAAAAAAAATAAAGAAGGTATGGCTACTATTGTATTCGACTGTGTAAACATGACTACTAAAAAGTGATAACAAAGACCATTCTTCTTTTCTTTTTTGCTTAAAATCCATAATGATTTTTGCATGGTAGAAACCCAGACATCAGTCAATGACCAAGTGTAGAAAACCTGTCGTATTACAAATTAAAAGACCTTTGCCACTTTGGGCAACTGAATCATCCTCTCCTTTTCTCGCTTCTTCTCTGTTCCACCTCTGTAGTACTGCTGGGGATGCAGACCGGTGGAAGCAGCAATATGAATGAACAGTTTTTAGGAGATTAAAAGGGTTCAAAGAAAGAAAGAAAGAAAGAGCTGAGGGAAGTTTGTTCCATATCTTTAGCTTAACCGAGAATATTGTCATAATCTGAATACATTTACCAAAGAAAGTAACTGATCCTTGTGCCATATCGTTTATCGTCATGGACCTCAATGCAATGGGTAGTTTGGTTCGAATCATGGCCTCAAATAAGACTACTTCCCTGCATACAATTTTTGCATTATTGCAAATTGAAGAAAGATGTTGAACAATATCTTTGAACGTTGCTATCCGAGTTTTCCTCTTGCAGAAAACATGTCTTTCATAAGACCATATGGACACAGGGCATGCATGCATCAGGCATGTAGCAGACAAACTCTGTCCACTGTCCTATTGTAACTTAAGCAAGAAATCTAGTACAGTTAGATAACTTTAAAAAAAATTATATATATATATATCATACCCTTTTTCATCCAATGAGGATCTTCTCAAATGAAAGCAAGAGGCTGGCCAATCTTCTTTTTAGGCCGTGTGGCCTGTACCGTGCCAAAGATTCGAGTCTTACACTGAGTCGTGAATAGAAACAATTCAATCTTCCCAAGAGACACATGACTTGTTTGACTATTTTGTGCTTAGCAGAGAACTGAGTGATCTCTTAGCTCACTCATTGTTGGGTCGTCCCATGGGTTTCGTGCACCAACTATTTTTCCCACATATTTTATTGTCCATAGGCAAAGAAACGAGATAGATAAAATGAAAGTGAGAGACAGAAAGGGAGGTTTTTTATCAAGAATCAATCATTTTCACCACCACCCTTGTTCACTGTCTAGTGATTGTACCTTGCTTTGTCTTCATTCTTTTTGGCCAAAGATTTTATGCAACATTTTTCTTCACGACTACATAACAACCACGGCTTTTAGATTAACTACCAGTTATTTTTTATTATGCCATGCCATGTACACGATTCTCTTCATGATTTGCTCTACATGTAAATCTGCACCTCCTCTGTAAATTCTTTGCCATATCTGAAACCCCCCCTCCCCTCCCCTTGAGTTTAATATGGGAGACACTCCAGGCCCGTCATCCTCTTCATCCCCTCCCCTTTCTCCAAAGTCAAATTTGCCTATGCTTTATTACGGCCTGGTCGTCGTGGGAACAGCTGCTATCGTGCTGGCTATATACAACCTAATCATCATTCGGTGGTGCACACGGCGGCAGGATGAGCCCAGGCAGAGACCTACCAGGCTTGCAGAACTAACGGCCAGCCAGAGTTTTGAAAACCCCAGCAGGAACTTGCTGTCAAGTTTTAAGTACAGGAAGGAAAGCAGCAACATCGGGTCCCAAGACCCAGGTGGAGAATTTGAATGTGCAGTTTGCTTATCAGTTTTCGAAGACGGAGAGGAGGTGAGGCAGCTACCAAGGTGCAAGCATTCTTTCCATGCTCCTTGCATAGATATGTGGCTGTATTCTCATTTTGATTGCCCGCTTTGTCGTGCCTGTGTCGATCCTTCTCCGTTTTGTCATCAGCACACAGTGGTTAATTCACCAGAGAATTCCAGGGAAGATTTGCTGGATACCAGCATCCCAGTTTGAGTCCTCCATTTTTGTTGATCTGTTCTCTTCTTCTCTTCTTTGCTTTATCCCTTTGTTGATGGATTAGGTAGGGAAAGTCTGATACCCAGGCTGTCTTGGTCCTGGTCTTTGTGGGCCTGAGATGCGTGACGATCTTAACAAAGACTAAACCAAGGAAGCTAGTTAACTCGTTTTAGTGCTCCAACTGGGTTAGGGTTAACGCGGGACGGCGCCAGCCATGTCGCTTCCCTTTGTATATAGAAATCAAGTTTTGGTATGTAGCATACACAATTTATCCCAGAAACTTCTTGCACTTATTGTGTAACAACAGAATACTGGTCGATGATGCAGTTTTGTCAGAGGGGAGAGTCTCCATTGACAATGACAAGAATAAAAATCTCATTCCTGCCTTCGAAAAACAAAAAACAAAAACATTTCAACTAGCTATTCTATGTTTTTGTGCCCGCCATCAGCAGGTCCTATATTGTGCAGCAAACACTGCAATGCAAGTTTTACAAGGGCAAGCTCGGAGGTCAAGTTTCCCAGCACAAAAAACTCCACTTATAGAACCCACTGTCCTAGCTATAGAATACCATGACTAGTTGACCAGCAGAATAAACATCACTCATAGAACCCACTGTAATAGCTCCTCCACCGGCAAAACAAACTCAAAAACTTCTTACTATCAATATCGCACTTAACTTTTAACAAAAATTCGACGGCTTCATGTGCCAGACACCCATAAGATCAGAAAACTTGGCAATAAATCTTGCATTTCCAGGGTTCATTCAATGAGTTTCCCAGGGACCACAATCTTGATACTTTTTGTTGCCCATCCAAACAACACAAATGAGGCGATGCCACAATGGGCACACATGTAGATGTACACAAGAGGTTAACTAATCCACTAAAAATTGAACAATAAGCTGTACAGCTGACTCCAATAGAGTGAATACAAAACCTATTTACTGCGAAAGCATGATTAAATTTACATAAAGTAATTTATTATAATTTCCACGTATTTCCAAATCCTGAATCAATAAACTCTGGCATAGTTTCCAAAATGTTACAATCCAAATGCACTTTCACATAAAACATAGAGGTGATGTCTATATTATACAGAAGTAGCTAGGCATACTTACTACATCCTTCTCAAATTATCTAACCTTGCCTGTAATTCACTATCTATTCCACTGTCATCATTCCCAGTTGTTTCTGCCTGTGCAACCTTACCCTTTGCAGCTGGTGCAGCAACAGCAGCTGATGGTGCCGCAACAAGCTGTGAATTAGATCAAAATAAGCAAAGTTAGTACATCTTAACAACTTAAATTGGGTAAAAAAGCCAGACTACTCAAGCTATGTGCACTACATTGATAAGAATGGAGAAAATAGTACCTCCTGATTGATGTCAATTCCAATCTCATCCAGAACCTGGTTTACAAGTTCTTCTGTTTCCTCCTCTTCCTCATCCCCTTCCAAAGCATCATCAATTGCATCACCCATCACCTCGGTCACCATCTCCATCTTCTCATTCTGTCTCTCAAATTCTTGCATAATCTTCTGCAAGGATGGCAAGTTCATCTGCCTGTTCATCTGGCCCATTGCCTTTGTCACACCTTTCATTGCCTCACCCATTGCTTGTGTTGATTTCAGTGTCTGGAAGTTGTACAGAACATTAGTCATGCTTTAAAGTTTAAGATACACAGGCAATAACATCAAAAGTTGCAATTAACTTGTAAAAATTGACAAGGCTTCAATCTTGAATTGTACTTCAAGTAGCCTAGGGCTTTTTAGAAGTCAGCTAGCCCAATCAGTTTGTTTATTCTCTGCCAGAGACAACCAGCAGACAAAGTGTTTCTCCATATCACATTTGGTGACTAATCAATTTAAATTATTAATCCCCCAACTCTTAACAACATTTTCAGATGGGAATAGAGATAGATTAATCTTGCGACTTATCTGCTTTTTTCATTTTGGAAAACAAAATAAAGTCATATTTATTCCTTTGCGTATAGCATTGCCATATTTCAAAACTTTCTATACTAGCCCCCTAAATAGCTATAGCTACTGATGTCCATCTCCTTACCAAGCATGAGAAGAGATCATAATTTTCCATGCAAAACACTTACTCAAAAAAAAATTGCACACTTCAAGTCATTGACACAGAGACAAAATGGATAGATAAAAATACATACTTGAATTCTAAGAGATACACCCTGGAGCTGTGATTTAAGCTTATAAAACTTTTCAATCTGATGTCGTGTTCGGATAAGGTCCTTTGCCATCACCTTTACAGCTCCCTGAAATAAGATTGCCATCAATCACTTGTATAATAACTTTTACAAGTCCAGAAGTTATAAGAAACCTAGTTTCACAAGAAGAGAGATGGAAAATACAATCTTGAAGCACAATGAGACAAGAAATGACAGCATGAGTCCACTAATACGAAACAAAATAGACATACGCAGAACTCAAGCGGCAAAAATGCCAAAAGTACAACCTGAGATACATAATTTATGCATTTTTCCTGAAAATAAGGGAGAAAACAAAAGCACATAAACTCTTCCATAAAAATTGCATGATGTCTATGTATGAAAGAGCTAAAAGCAACCTCATGTTATATTTAACGTCACCAATAGATCCAACTAATCCTTCCAAACATGCTACAAACACATACAAATAGCGTAATCAAGCACTGAATCACTCCATGTTATATTTAACATCGCCAATAAAAGCAACCTCATGTATGCCAAAACTAACGTTTATTTTCTCATGATTGCCTAAAAGAACATAAATTTGTCAAGCTGATAAGCGCTTGATCGAATAGCACACCAAATTTAAAACAATGTAACAACACAAATGTAACAAGTCACTAATGATGTAAAAAATATAGCGTACCATCTGCCCTTGCTTTGCACTTTTCTTTATCTCTGCAATCAGTTTCTTCTCTTGTGTCTGCAGACCTTGCCTTTCCCTCTCTATCTCTCTAATAGATTTGTCCAGCATCCTCTTATTCTCCCGCAGAAGCTCTGAAACCAAAATCCATTAATAATTTTAAATATTACCCAATATCCCAATACAAAATGACCAACACCATTTAATCCACACCATCCAAAATCACTGTCTAGATACCTCCAAAACCTGGCAACAAATTACAAAACTCAGAACCATACGACGCACAATCCACATAATCTGTATGCTTCACCTTTCATAAGAATAGAACGTGGACATTACACACTAAGACGATAAAACTCCACTGAATAAATTGTGAAACCCTACCGTTACAAATATGGGCAAACAACCATGCGACTGATTGATCTTAATAGCACAAAAAAAATTGCTTACATTAGAAGTATTCATAACTATTTCTAGAATTAACAAAAATTTAACATTCCATACCGAAACTCTTAATACTAATCAAAATTTATAAGATCTCCGAAAATTAATATCAGCAAAATCAATTAACTATTTCAATCACTAAAACCCTCTATCTGCAATCACTTGATCGAATTCAAGACGGAACGATCAAAAACAAAATCGTATACTTCATTCGATTTTAATACAAATTTCAATTTATTTAAAAAAATGAAAAAGATTTGATACCTGCGGGAGTTTTTCTCTTGCCAAAGAGGAAACTCATGTTCGATCGATACTAAGAAAACTGACTGAAAACGAATTAGTGGAGTCTGGGATGATCCGATCCGATATAAAACGCGCGTCGTCGCTGCGTTTTTATGGTTGGATTGAGGAAGAGATTGCTTCTTCGTGGTGGTTTGATCGCTCGGCCGCGAAGACAACTTTCTTTTCTTTTACGCGGTAGAGTGGTTAAGGAATGGGAGCTGAGAATAATCAATCCGAATAAACACGTGGCTCTATCTGTATTGTAGGGTCCATGTTGATGACTAGACTTCGTTTGATCGTAGCGGAGCCATATGGATTGAAGACTATGCCTCCTTTTATCTTAGCCGAGCCAAGTGGGCCTCTGGGCTCTCTTTTCTTACAAAAGTGGGCTCTGGTCTTACTCTCATTGCTTTTTAGCCCATCTGGCCCTATTTTATGATTTATTTATGGACAAATATCACCTTTTTTTCAAAAAAAAAAAAAAAAGATAAATGGTTCCAAACGCGGACCCAACAACTAACAGGAGCACACCCGAAACCCAACTGTTTTCTCTTTTTGCTGCCGAATCAAAGCCCACTTTCTCAACTATCTCTACATTTTGCATATCTGAGTTGTTATCAAATGAAGGAAGGAATTGTTCTCAATTATCAACCCACATTGTGGGATCGAATATTCTTCTCCTTCCCACTTAGGGCAGCTTACATCAATGTCCTGAAGAATATAAAACAATGGAGGGGTTGGCATTACTTAAGAAAAAGTCCATGTTGGCCACTATGAATTGTGGCTTCTGAATGTCATGCATTTCAATCCCCTCTCATTAATGACCTAACTTTGTTGTGTCACGAAACATTTAGAGCACCTCACATGCAGGTGTGTGTGTGTGCGTATATATATATATATATATATGGAAGCATTATGTTATATCATATATAAAATGTAAGGTGCATGTTGATGAAAGGAACGAAAGTTAATTAAGCAAGTTGAAACAATACACAATGTATTTGTCGGAGAAATTAATCCTATTAGGTTGTAAGCTAAAAACCGAGAGAATATCTATTCAAGTAGTATAAAACAAATTACTTTTGAAAATTATTTAGAAAGAAACTAATTCTAATGCTGCCTATTAGATCAAAATTGAAAGATGATAACTTTTGATGGAACATATCTATTAAATCAAAATTCAACAGTTTTAACTTTTGATGAAAAAAAAATTGATCTTTTGATGAATAGTGATAACTTTTGATAAATAGTCACATAGTTATTTAAATATAAGCACTAGAAGTTAGAATTAATAAATTCAAAAGCAATTATTCTGTCTCTATCTTTTTCTCTCAATCAAACTCTTTTTTTTTTTTTTAAGCTCTAAAGGAAAAATTCCAAATTATTATCTGTAATTTTTAGATATTTTTCTTGAATTCTAAAGTTAAATTACCACCCCAACAGCAACATAGGGGGACCTTAAGGATAGAATAGAATTCTAAGGTATATGCATTTAAGGCACAGAAAATTCTTCATATATTTTCTTCATATTATATATGAATAACATTTGTTGGTTGAACTCCGCAAGAAAATTGTTTGGAGAAACTAGTATTTGAATTTATTTGACATTAAACCTATAGTTACATGCACGACATGCTCTAAAAGAGTAAAAGGTACCCATTGTCTATTTGCTAACTATAAGCTTAAGATAGCTAAAATAAAAAATAAACTCTACACTAATTCAATTAGTATAAACACAACTTGCAAATTTGTGAACTCATACATTTTCCAAACTCATGTATTCTAAAGGTAACCTAAACCCTAACCCTCTTCCGCTGTAAAACAGAACTATATAAAATAAGTTTTTCTGTTAAGACAACTCCAAAACATCAAAACACTTTGGTTGTTTGGTTTCAGCTAAGTTCTATTTAGATAGTACTTTGATTCAATCCTTTTATTTATTCAGTAGTAGCAAGCAAAGGTGCTATAGAAAAACCAGCAGCAACAACAGTACATGCAGTTAAAGTTTGTAGGTGATGGTCTAATCTATCAACAAACAGATTTATCGCTATTAAAGCAAAATTTTCACCCAAAAACTCCAAGGGCGTGCCATCTCCAACATACTACGAGCGAGTGGGGTTTTAGCAGATGCCTTGCACAGAGAAGACCGTGTTTCCTTCTCTTTTCTTTTTTTTTTGGGTTTCTCTGACAGCGCAATTGAGGTTTCTTTAAAAGGATTAAAACAGTATACCCACGCGTGGGAAAAACACGCCCTCATTCTCTCTTGCATACATTTCCTTGCATTTAAAATTAAAAGCTGCTGTAAATTTCTTTTTCTTTTTTTGTTAAAGCTTTTTAACATCTGATTTCTAAACCTTAAAATAATCAATGAGAACGTAGCACACGTGCGCTTGAGGGACATGCTTGTACAGAGAGGGCAGGGCGGTCACGTGCGGACTTTGTCGTCTGACTCTCAATCTATTGTAATTCACGCACTCCTCGGTGGGCTGGCCAGCTTCGGGGAGCAGAGCACGTGCCCTGTACCCAGACACAATACCAGCAGAAGGGCCCCTTTGAAATTATTGTTACTTAACCACAGTAATTTGCTAATTAGCTACACTAATTCCTGATAATTGTACCTTTTGCGCTGGCAAACAAATCAGAAGTCACTGTTTTTACTTACTAGTTTAACTAATTGGTTGATTTTAAGCCAAGTTATAAAGTGTTAATCCGAAGGGGCTTTTGATTTGCATCTCTAATTTGTTGGCCATATGATCATAATTGATTTGACTGATAAATTATTATTGATATAATGATAGGTTCTAAGAATTTTTATCAAGAAACTCATTGGATATTACTAATTCTTTCACTCAATAAGTAACAAAAGAGACAGATCCATTGATATAAATTAAATATTATATGCACTTATATCAATGTTTTGGCTTGTAACTGTGGCTATGGTCCCAAGGGATATAGCCTTTGCGTATTGCGCTGTGTAACCAGCAGTTGGCGACGCCACTGACCAACCATGCATCGTTCTATTAAGACAAAAGAGGAGGCCTGGAGGAGGATGGAAAACCTATTATAGCTGGGAAGTGGTCCTTGGTTTAACTAATAATCCTTTCAAGGTGTAGGCTAGGACATTGCTACCCAAGCATCTGTTACAAAACTATGGAAACCTAATATGTTATGTACCACAGATTTGTGCTTGGTTGTTGAGAAGCATGCTCCACTTGTACTTACCGGCAAATTATTTGTATTATGGATTGTATTTCTTGCTCTCTATTTTTAAGTTTTCTTCTCTTTTTCAAAAGTGTTTTTTCTTATTTAATTTCCATTTGCTTAATTATTGGTTTTTGGGTTTTTTTTGAAAATTTTTATAGGCATTCAGACATTTCTTTTCTGCTATATCCACTTAAAGCTTTGCTGCTTCTACCATTCCCTGGAGGCTGAAGAGTAAACAGGAAGAGTGGTTTGCCGTTTGCCTTTCCATTTTTGGAGTTCAAATATCAAATGTACAGGCCAATAAGAACTCCTGAGGAATGGAGTTTAAATGTGAATCATAGTAGTTTCAATTATAGGATGCAAACAAACAAATAAAGGGTCATCAAATCAAGGTTATTTCTAAATGTGAGTATCAATTAATGTGTACATGCTAATGAGGCTAAATGGGAACGGAGTATTCTTTTGTGAACACTATTATTAGAGAAACATAGCTAAGTTGTTGAAGATCATGACATGTCATAAGTGAGAAAGACAGCTGTGACATGTTGAAAGGGATCATGTTGATTCTCTTATCTTTATTTCAAAGTCCATCTTTGAACACATCTCAATCCAATAAAGTTGAGGATGACATGTGTTACTCTTAACAGATGTTCCCACCATTCTCAAGTGGAAAGAGAGTGTTTGCTATCTGGGTTTTCTCCATTGTTTCCCCTTTTTTTCCCTTTCTTCTCTTCTTTGGGATGGGGGTATTTCTCTTCTTTTGGTAAGGGAGTAATTGATCGAATGGTAATCAGGTCAACGATGGTGGCCAGTCTTTGCTGTCCCATTTCATCCCAAAGAATACATGGTTGCTCATAACTTTTTAGTTTTTTCCTCTGGTGCAAAAGTTAGTTTGGATTTTTGCTATGATGTCTGATCCTGCTGTATTTTGACTTCTGAGATTCCTTATGTGTGACCCTACTTGTCTGCGGAGGCTTAGCATTATTCATCAGTTTAATCGGGTATTGGACATCTAGATCATTGATAGATTGGAATTTTCTTCTGGTTGAAGTTTGATCACACCATAATTCAGTTCCATACCATACTAGTAAAAGTTCACACCAGATACTGTAACAACGATTCAGTCATTTTCTTTTCCAAACTTGGCAAATTGATTCACCCTGGAAACAACCTTTTGACATCAATTTGTGAGACATGAATCTGTTTGTCTAGGAGAAATGAGTACAGAATCTGGCTGATGCTGGGGTAAAACTACAGGAAGAAGGTTATCTAATCTGGTCTGAGTTTAGTTTTACCTGGTGTTTTTACTTCTTAGTTAAAGATGTCTCTAATAATATTTTAAGCCGTTGGTCCTATCCCACCAAATCAAGAAATGATATCCCCACGAACTACTCTAACAGAAAGAAATCCTTGAGATCCCACTCTGTTTATGATAGTACAAGTATAAGGTCAGACAGACAGAATTTATGGAGCTCAACAATTGGCTATGGCAAGCATATGCTGGCTCTTTGTCTACTGTTTCAGAATTCAAAGTCCATGTTTAATGTGATACCCCAAGGATGTCCTCAACCAGAGAAACAGGAAATCTAAGCATGGATGTGACAGTCGGCAACGCAAATGTGCAGTGAGGAGAGGCAATTGTGTTGTTATATTCAAATGTGCAGAAATGAGAAACATCTTTTTAATCATGGAGATATTTAATTCTGTGACTCCAAAGGGAAACTAATTTATGTTGGGATGTCGAGGCCATGTGCTTAAGCCAGTGAAAAAGCAGAGGGTTTCCGCTTTCTCCCTTCTCTCGTGGGGAGAAGATTTGTGCTGGCTTTTCCTTTTTCACCTTTTCTATTTCGACTTTCTGTATTGCTTTAACGGTTCACTGTGTGAAGATAACAATGAATCTTCACTCCTGAAATAACTTTAATTTTCACCATCTTAGGACTGCTTTTCCATTATTCTTTTCAGAGGCTATCAAACATATAGAATCACCATCATCACTATCAGAAGAAAA